AAACTCGGCGGTCATGAGTCTGAGAGCCCAACCATCCACTGATGTGAAGCAAGACAACTTGCCTCTCACTGGCAAAAAATTCTGTAAGGTTATTGGAGTCAGTGGTAAATTTTAAGTTCAACAGAAAACTTTTCTTGTGTTCCTTTAAGTCTTTTGCCAAGTTGAACAGGTACATTTCTATGAGTACTGATGACTCAGACTCATCTCTGTATTAACTGCAGAAGAGAGAAATGGACACTGCTTTTGATCTGCTGTACTCCTTCCACATAGGATAGGTGAGGTCCCAGGTGATGAAAATGATCAAACAGTAGGCAAGCATAGGAGCTTATCCTATATTTAAAATCTTTAAAAAGCTGCTGGTCAAGGAGTGTACAGCCTGGTCACTCCTGTTGTGAACATTATGTCCTGGTGGGGTGAGGTGTGGGTTGCTTCTATTCAAAAATCCTTGGTGGAATTAGGCACAAGATAGGCTAAAATCGGCTACAGTCTTCTGAAGGTCAGTCTGATTGCAGCAACATGTCAGAAAAGGCAGGCAAGAGCTGAGTCAGGTAAATAAACACACAAGGTACCTTCAGTGAGGCCAGATATACCAATAGCCAGGATATGATTTGGAAGAACAGGCAGATTAATAATGGAGCTCTGTAAATTAGTTTTACCCTGGGTCCTCCAGGGTTAATCCATAGGGCTTGGTCTGGATATAATTTTCCAATCTGAAAGGGCCAGTGAGGTACATCAGCTTTCATTTTTCTGCTCATCTGCCCGAAAACTTTCAGCTCAGGAGGCGGCCATATTCTCAATCCAGACTTGAGGTTCTGTTTAGGAGTCTATGCTACATTTGGGAGCCACAGGGGTTGGCAGAGCCATGTTTGTCAAAGTTGGCCCTACTTTCTTTGGTAATCAAGTGTTCACCTTCTGTAATTCAGCCCATCTCTGAGAAACATCTTACAAACAAGTCAAGGCCTCACATTGGTTAAATGGTGCTGCTGACAGATTTAGATGAGATTTGAGGCATGGAGATAGTAGGCAAACTCCTAGGTTTGTTTTAGGCTTTCTGTTTTTCCAATCGCCAAGTCTTATATGCAGTGTACATTAAAGACTCTTGAGCAGATGATCATCCTCATCATCTTAAACTCATCTAAGGAGGCAATGACTGGCAGTGTAGATCAATGACTTTTCCTGTAAAGTACAGGAAAAAACAGAGGAAAAAAAAAGAGCCAACAATTTGAAGGTAGAAGATTGAGCTTGAAGGTAATTTCTTCTTTTACATACAACAGTTGTATATACAAGCAGGCTAATCATCATCCACATTTATTTTTATTTGTAGAGGGTGAGCAGTCTAGAGAAACCAGACTTAGGCCTTGTTTGATGACATGTAGAATCAATCACATAATTACTATTAGTCAGTCTAGAGGATAAGAGACAAGGATATAAAGAAACCATTCCCAATGTTTAACCAGTGCATTCATTAGAGTAGCTCAGGATAGCTGGCCCTTAAAAATTGACTGTCACATAAAGGAATGAGATTTTCTCATGACACAAATTGAAATCTCCTTGTTCAACATGGTCTGAGAATTTATGAATTGAATCCTTCCTGCAGAAACAGGTTGTCTTAATGCCTGAGAGTATCTCATGGCAAGGAATGAAGTCAGCCACTCTGAATCAGTGTAAAACGACAGTATTGAGACAGACGTAATTCCATTTTAACATCCACAAGGACAGAGGCTGTTCAGTCTATTAGTAAAATCTTTAGCTGCAGTCTTTGTAGGTTTTTTTTCAAGTCAGTCAATGTTTCCAGCATAAATGTAGGCAATAAGCTATTTGAAATGCCAGAGCAGGTAAGCAATCATGGCCTGGCCAAAGAGCCTGCCTCCAACTATCCCTACCACCTACAGTTGATGGCATCAGACATCAAAAGACTCATCTTAAAAGAACATCTCTTACTGGCTAGAAGAAATTTTCCAATGGTTACACTTTTAATCACATTTATGAGATGGGATGTTCCAAGATTGTCTCTTAAGGATCAACTGTTACATGTAGTTAGAGCTGAGCAGTTATAATACTGGTAAATAGACAGATATGCCAGTGAAGGAGGAATTGTTTGGGATTTTTTTCTTTAAGGTTATGAGCTCATTTATCTTGGAAATGATAGAAAAACCGAAAAACAAAACAAAAAAAACCCTCAAGCAGCAGTGTAACTGCCACTGGTTGAGTAATACAGTGACTTGTAGTTTGAAAAGATGAGTGATGAACAGGTACCGAGACCCTTTAGGAAAAGCTGGCAGCATGTGAGTTCTGCTTTCATAGTTAATGGCTATCTCTTGCACACGACGTAGAGTACCGTGGCTGATGAGAGCTCAAATGTACAGGTTGGTCTAATATAGCTTCAATGAGTCATGATCTTCAACACCAGCTTGCTGGCAATTCAGGTATCCACGGACAGTCAGGACTTCAAAATCATGTTCTTCAAGTACCACTAGAACATCTTGTTTGCAAAAGAAGTTGATTAAGGGAGTTTGTCAGTGTAGGGTGCACAGAACTAATCTCTGGCTATATCCGATTCCAATCACTGGAAGTCCATCTCGGTTGGAGGGCTGTTAATCTAGGTTCACTTGACACCACTTTCAGCCCATGTGACTATTTTGGGGGGGCAAAGACATGCCCATCTTGCACTTTTCTAAGTTTGCACACAGTATTCCTAACAATATTCAGCATGTGACTGAACATGGATTGTGTTGAGTGGAGATAACAGAGATCAGAATGCCATCTAGGTCAAACATATTGCTGTCTAGGGCAGTGGTTTTCAAACTGTGTTCTGAAGAGTTCTAGGTGTTGCAACGAAGTCCCCTTAGGTGTCATCATGGCAGTAAAGGAAGATGCTGTGGCAGGCTTCAGGCCCCTATGCCTGCTTCACTGCTTCATCCAGAGTAGCTTCACTCTTACTCTGGGCTTCCACATAATTCTCATTCAAAGGGCTTCATGGCCATAAAGCCTTTGGAAAACCATTGATCTAAGAATAAGTTGTTCACAAAATGCTGAAATACAAAAAATAGGTCACAGAAACCAGAAACTGTGTGAGCAAAGCCTGTGGTAAGCCAAGAAGGTGTTTTCCTATTCATTCTTTCCCTGATGTGGGCCACATTACAGGTTGATGAAGTTAAAGCTCAAGTATGTTATATATTCTGCTTGTCTGCAGTTGGGCTTAAAAGTGACTATTAGAGAACAAGGCTAATAATTTTAAGTTGCAATAGCACTGGGTTGTTTTGCATACATCTGCAAAATGCATCCATTTCTTTGTAAATATTACTCCAAGAAGTTCATGGCTAGATGACTTCTCTTCGAGTATTGGTAGGATCTCAGTGGGCCACAACTCAAAGTCTAAGACAGTATTTCCTTCTCACCCCTCCTCCCCCTTTTCTCTATTCTCCTCCTCCCTTCCTTTTGCAATCTCCTTACCCACTTGAGATGCAATGCCCTTAAACTAAGTTTATGGTACATTTCTAGGAACAGAGAAGTATATTGCTAATTGTCATGGAACTCACCCAATTTTAGGGCAGAATTAAGCTTCCCCCATTCCCCTCCCACGTATCCCCACAAATCTTCTAGAGATTCCCTTGACAGAAAATAAAGGTAATGGTCAAGAGGCAGGACTCTCAGATGGTAGAGACATACTAATTCAAGCAGTTAATGACAAAGTATGAGAAAAGGGGTTACAAGGATGCTCTGTTTATTATGAGGTCTCCAGGGCAACCTGTTGGCAATCAGGAAGCACTGGCTATACCGCTCTGATACACTTTCTGAATCCCATTAAAAGGAATGATGCAAAAAATAGCAGTGTGTTTGATTAAACTTAGCGGACACACTGGGTTAAAAAGCTAAATAGGGCTTTTTGCTGCAAGTCTTCTGAGATCCTTTAATACACTACACTGAATTATAGACTGGGGGAAGGGACACATATCTTACAGTATTTTACTACCTTATTAGACAACAGAAGCTCTCTATATATGACACATATACATATGTATATATACACAGTACTGCTGTAAAAAATGGATGGCTCATTTTGTGTAAATATTAGTTTGAGGACAGAGAACCTTAAACTCTTAGTGTCCAGAAATATCAATGAGACTTAGAAAAAGAACAAGGATCCCTAGTTAATTAGGCCATCCATCTTTGGGAAGACCATGAAAACAGACAAAAGATCTAAAAGTAGCTTTGTGTTTCATGTTGGGCATCCCTGTCAGAGTATGTGCATTTTTGACTGGACAATCTACCACGTGGAGATAGTATGCTCCTAAATCTTAGGAATATTGCCATGGGATATGGGTCTAGGTAGAGTTATCACATAATTACACTTATGACATCCTGTGTGACTGGGGCACCTGATTGGGAAATTGGAAATTTTCCTGGGGTTCCCTATCTCCAGCCATTTTTAACACTGTAGGTAAAGTGGAAGCTAAGTCAATTCCAAGGAAAGCAATGGACTGGGAGTCAGAAGGCCTGGCCTCTACCACTTCGTAGCTGTGACACCTTGGAAAACTGCTTATTAACCTTTTGAATTTCCATTCCCTCATTTGCAAAAAGTGATAATTAAGAGATAAATGTATGTAAAGGTGCTTTCAAACTGTAAAGTGCTATATAAACAGAGGGGATTACTGTAAAGGTTCTACCTGATGTATCAAGAGGCCTTTTCTGACATCTGATTGGAGCCTTGTGAGATCCTGCTAGGTAAAGGGATTCCTTGGTAGAATTTCTTACATTTGTGTAAAAAAGTCCTGGTTCCTGAGTAATCCCAAAGATGATGCTATGAGGAGTTCACTGTTCCTTTGTTTTGATCCCAATGGGTCAGATTATCTGCTTTCTCATTCAGTAGGTTACTGTAGATTTGAAGTTGAAAAAGAACAGGGTCCAGTGACCTTGATGGGATCCTAGATAGTTCACGAACTTCAATTATTTGCAATTGTGGGGTACCGGCCCAATGCTGTTCTCAAAGAGATGTTGCCTTTCTTCAGACAGCATTAATAACTAAAAATCCCCTGGTCCAAATTTATTGTGTGTCTCTGAAGGCTTTAATTGAAGAAATGAAATGCAGACTCATAGAACAAACTAGGCCTTTGTTGTGATAAAGTAGCTTCAGCTGTTTGGCTCGAGGACTCTGACTTCACTACAAAGGGCTGTGCTGGGTAGGACAGGAGTGGAGGTAAAGGCCACATAATAATGGCTGAATGTCTTTTGGGTCACCAGTGGTCCACTGGAATGGTATCTTCTTCAGTAGTAAGGTGGCAGGAATCACCATGGGCAAAAATCCAGGTACCAGATCTGTAGGCTGATGCAATAGCACAAGGAAGGTAGTCAGAAGGTCCAGGTGAACACTCAGCAATCAGGAGGCACAGGACTAGAAGGGGCAGGGACAAAACAGGTGAGATAACAAATGCATGGAATTACAAAACACATGACTGTAACACTGGGGTGGGCCTGCTGTCAGCATATCAGCTGCCTGATGGATACTAATTCTTGACAAACTTGGCTTCCACACTGATGAGTGATAAATGAAAACAAAAAGCGAACAACCCTCACCTCCCAAAGAAAAACACAAAAGCCTTATTATCAGCGATTGTTAATCAGAACACAAAGAGCTCTCTGGCAAAGACTGTCTCCCAACTGTTGAGAACAAACTATCTCAGGAAAGCAACAAAGAGTAACTATCCCAAGCCTCATACCTTGGGGGAGTAATCTGATTATATTTAGGCTGCTAGACATTAGGTGGTTTGGAGAGGAAGTGGCTCCAAAAGTGGCACAAAAAGAATTGAGATTTTAAGTTTATATACCAACAATAGCAAAGGAGATACTGCCTTTCTTCCTTTTCCAATGTGGTCCTCAAATTGTCTCCTTTTAAAAGCAGCCCTTAACTTTCACTTTAACAAGATCCCATCTTGAGTAGGAGAGATTAAGGCCTTGCATCCTTCTGTAGGTAATACCCCATTCAACATACAGGTTCTCTTTATGTCTGAGGGCTCCCTAGATCTTTAAAATTTAGAATCAAAAAATAATAAAACAAAATAAAAGAAGAAACATAGCCCGTATCTAGTGACTTTTCTTCTAATTAAGACTAATTTTAGTTATCACACAGCAATTACGCAAACACTTACTGAGTGCTTATTCTGAGATAGCCTGCCCTCTATACTCCTCCTTTCTAATAAATGCTTCATCATAGGTGGTGGTATGTGTGGGCAAAGATGCATTAAACAAGGCCCTTGCTTTCAAGGAGTTTGCTATCTGCAAAAAGAGCAAATGCAGGTAAATATTTTACAAGATGTTGTACACCAGGATAAAGATATATGTCATAAAACTTAAAGAAGTTCATTTCTGCCTAAAGTTGGGAAACTCACAGAAAAGAGAGCATCTGAGTTGAATATTGAGGAAATAGCAGAGTTTTCACAGGTGAACAACCAGAGGAGCGCATTTATACTAGAGTACAGGAGAGAGTATGAACGAAAGTGTGGAGGTGGCAAAAAATAATGCATTTTGGAAAATGACAAGTACCGTAATTCACTTTGGATGGAGCATCCTCAGTTTGCACTGAGGGTCTAGACAAAAACTCAGGTCTTCTAATTCCCAGTAACAGCGCTGGTGGCAGTGCTTGCTCAGTCGTTGCCTCTCTTCTCACAGCAAGGTCAACAGTCCCAAAATTGAAAAATAAAAAATAATCTACCTTCAGTGTTCTTCTTGTCACATCCTGACAAGCTCTTTCAGGTTCCAGGTCTAGTTCTTGAAAACTCGGAAATGTGGAGTCCATAGCTGCGGCTACAATGAAAGACATCTGCTCGAACTATTGCAGAACACTGTAGTGAAACTTTTTCAACTTCCAGTCCTGGACATCTTGTTTTAACAAAGAATTTCAAGCTCTGAGTTCCAGTTGTCTTTTGCCTCTTTTCTTCTGAGGAAAGCATCTTATCACTACAGTCTTAAGATTCTTTTGAGGTACATCCAGATTTACTTATAAAAGAGCTAAAAGACCAACACATTTTTCTCCAAAACAGTCATTTCTCTGGAAGTGAGATTATTTGTCTCTGCTCTTTAGGTAAAGGGCATAGTCCATTGATTTTTTTCAGACATTTGAATGAAATAGTAAAATTGGCTAACATCTAATCAGACAAAATACACTTAAAATGTGTTTGTGTTCACTTGCTTAGAGCTGTACCACTTGGTAAGCACCACTCCACAAAATGAAAATGTTTGAAATCCAACTGTTCAAACATTTTTAGTGCTTGCTGGATAATGGCCTGGAATTTGATAAAAGCGGCTGACAATTAACAAAGAAACAAAACCTGGCATTTTGGCCATCTTAGTATCACAATTGCAAGCAATTAGAATACAAGGCAGGCTGGGAAAAACTTAAGCTTTGAACCACTTCCAAATCTACTGATTTTGAGGTTCTGCAGGAGATCTAACAAAACTCTCCAGAGAATGTTAACCTTCAGTTAATAAAAAAGCCCCAAACATCTTCAGGAATTCCATGCCTGGTTCAGTCTGTTCCAGTGAGCCCACTTGCTAAAAATCCACACACCATTAATTAGCTGGGCTTGGCAGCATCATTTAAAAATAAGCCTGTTCACTACCAACCACACAGACTAGGCATAAAAAGTAGGAGCAAGTAATGGATGGCAACCATGGTTGTGGAAAATGGTCAAAGAGTCAAAAATGTAGCCAGGCACCATACAAGCAGCACAAAACAAAGAGTTGCTGGACCAAAGATTAAATAAGCTTCTTGATACTAGAGAACACATCCACGCCTAATTGTAGCTGCTTTATATTGGGTGCCATTGTACCATATGCATCAGCCACCCTTCAGGCACCCCATGGTGAAAGAAAGAATTCAAAATAGAAGCCAAGCAGGGGAGTGTGGTTACCCCGAATATCCATTATGCATAGAAACAGCTCACATATCCCAGGGACTCAAACAGGGGCTTCAAATTGGTTGTGAAGGGTCCCAAATGACATCTAGGCCTCAGTTTCCTCCCTGCGGCATAAAAGAATCATGGTTCTTAACTCTTCTGCGTCACATCCCCCACTGAAAACTTGCTAGCGATGGATCATCATTCCCCTAAAATAACCATTCCCACAAATTTCCGCATACAATTTCAGGGAGTTTGGGAAGCTCCAACTCCAATCCAAGGTTTCCAGGTTCAAAATGCAAGGATTAGACAATTGCTAAATTGTCTTACAACTCAAAAAAACATCACAAACAATAATCATCCTTTACATACACCAACGCTTTGTAGTTTACAAAGCGCTTTCAATTCCACACACATTGACAGGCAGAGGAAACTGAGGCGCAGACAAATTACAGAGTGACTTGCCTAAGGTCACTCGGCCAGCTGGTGGCTAGGCCCGGAGGCAAACTCAGGTCTTCCGACTCCGGAGCTCTTCTCCCCACCCCGGAGCTGCCGCCAGAGCTCCCGCCCCTCACTAAGGCGGCATGAGGAGGAAAAGGCAAAGTAGAAAGCCCACCACCAACCATCCTCCGGCCCCCTCCTGCCCCCCCAACTGGGTCCGTGCAGGCCCGGAAGGGTGGCGCCAGGCCTCCAGACCGGCCCCGGCCACCCCCGCCTCCCCGGCCGCGCCAAAACCCGCTGCCGCCGCCGCCTCCCCCGGAGCGGGGCGGAGCAGCTGCCCCCCGCCACCGACCACGCGGACGACTCCTCGTCGAATCGCAAACGCATAGGCCGCCGCCCGAGTTCTGCGTACGAGAAGAAAGACGCGGCGCGAGCGCCAACGGCCACCGGGCGCGCGCCGCGGCGGCCGGGCCTGCGCCCCAAGAGCTGGATGCCAGAGCAGGAGAAAGAGCCGCCAACCGATCGCTCGATCGACCGCGCGCCCACTCCTTCGCCCTACCAGACCGGGGAGGGGGGGAGGGCGCGCCAGGGCTTCTTCGAGTTAGGGGCCTGACTCCCCGGCAACGAGACAAGATGGCTCCTCCGGTCCGCGCCGCAGCTACCGTCCCGACTGCGTCGCTCGGCCCGCCCCCGGTACTGTTTCTTTAAATGGCGGAGAGGGTCAGGAAAGCAGGAAGACAGGCGCGCGCTCTCACGTGACAGGGGCGGGACCGGCCAACCAAGATCCGGTCACGTGGGGGTACGCAGCCCGCCAATCAGGAGGCGGTGCATCAGGGCGGGGGCGGGAGGAGCTGCAGCTTTGTGATTGGCGGAATGCTCCGCGGAGGCCTCAGGGGCTTGGGGCGTCGGGGAGTGCGCGAGGTGGCCTGGGCGGTGTGCACCAGCGGAGACAAAGCAGTGGCTATGGTGGCTGTGGCTGCTGTGGCGGCGGCGGCGGCAAAGCATCGTTAAACACCGAGTTTCGCGGAGCTGAGTCCTGACATCATCTCATTCAGCGCGCGCGCGCGCGCGCGCGCGGGCGGCAGCGGCGGCGGCGGCGGCGGCAGCACATGGTTCTGAGAGCGCGCTGCGGTTGTGGGGTTCCAATTCCTCGGGGAGGGACAAAGGCAGCTGTGAGCTCCGGCCAACGCCCGGTTGGGTGGCGCGCTCGCCGCTGCCCTCGTTCGGGTCCTTGAAAACTGGGATTAACTTCTCTCCGCGAGGAGGAGGCCACGGGACCGAGGCCCGGGAACGGCCTGAGAGGCTAAGGCCGCTGTCTGAGGGAAGTGGGGGAGGGGCGCGGGCCGCCTGAAGTAATTTGGGCGGGTCAATTGTGAGGCGTTTCAGGGGCCAGTGTGAGGTAATTTGCCCCACCACCCTGAGGAAATTGGGGCGGGACGGCGAGCTGGGTTTGGTCGGGCTTTGAAAAAAATCGTCAGCGCCTGGGAGTTTTTTCATTTGGGAAGTGGTGAAGCCGGAACCAGCGCCATATGCACTCCACGGACACATTGATCGCCGATTTAGGGTCTATTTAAGGAAGCTCGCAGCACTGGTGGTGAAGATAGGGGTGCCTGTTCCGTTTTCTGACAGAAGTGGGTAAATTTCCGGATTGGTAAGTTTCCGGATTGGTAAATTTCCAGAAGAGGAAATTTGGAGGAATAAAAAAGTCTCGGAGAAAATGAAGATGGAGGAGTAATAAACTGCCGACTCAAGGACCCTCTGCTCCAAGACCATCCACATTCGACTCAGATTTTCCGGATTGAGCTATCGCAACTTAACGCTAAAAGCTCCTTAGGACTGCAGGTTTATGAGACCAGTGAAATATTTCCAAAATATTACGTCATAGTCATTGAGAAGAAAAAAAAAGAAGAAATCGATTGTAATTTTAAACATCTCTTTAAATAATATTTTGGATAGATACTAGGTAACCTTGGTTAACTGCCACTAAGGAGCACAGACTTATTAAACCTTTACTGGAAAGAATTCTGGAAAAACTATTCCATTATAAGGTTATATTTCCCAGTTAGTGGGTAAAAGACTGGAGACCTCCTTGCAGTTATGGCTTTCACAAATTACAGCAGTCTGAATCGAGCTCAGCTAACCTTTGAATATCTGCACACAAATTCGTAAGTATCCTATAGGTGCCACCGAGGTCACCAATAACTCATTCCTTGATAATAATACGGACACCCTTTCCCCAGAAAATTTTGCTTTTTTACTTTTTGGGATCTATCACTGGAGTGAAATGCATCACTGGATGTCATGAGCTCTGTATTGAAGAACTGAGATCAGTGAAATAGTTGTTGCTAATCCAGAAGAATCTGATTTTCATTTATTGGATCAAAATTTTCTGAATGCAAACTTCAGTTATTTGAAGTCAATATATTGAGTTGTTTCATTAGGAATCTAGCAAGTTCTCTATTGGATCACCAGAAGTTGGACTATTTTAGTATCAACTGTTTCTCCTTTCTAGTGAGGACAGCCCAAACATTTGGGTTTATAACAAGTGTTTACTTTCTAACAAGGCAAAAAAAGAATGAAGACATTTAAATGACAACTTGTGAGAAGAAATTTTTTTTTTTTCCCGGCAAACAGTTGGCTTTATCTTCCTGGGAAATTGCTCCCTATAGCCCATGTAGTTTGTATATACTAAGTAGGAAATGGCAATTTGTTTAAACCCTTGATTTAGATAGTCTTTCCCCCAAATTTCCGCAGAAACATATGGTGTTCATGGTTCTTAAATTCATGAAGAGATTACCATCATTCCAGTTTGGTCTGGAATGTTTCATGGTTAATCGTTATGCCCACTCTCTTTGGAAGTTATCTAGTGGGGTCAAAACTACTTTAGTGTTTTAATACATTCACCTGTTACTTTTGAGATGAAGGTAAGTATTCTGTGATTTTAGTACCTGGAGAGGTGATGAGCAGCTAGATGAATAGTCCAGAGTTATTTGAAGAACTAGAGAGTGGTTGTCTGGTTGAGAGAGTTGGGAGTGTAGACTTCAGCTGTCCAGTAATAGCAGTGCAATGATTTTTAGCCTTTTATAGAAAAGAGAACATGTTATTTGTGATTCCTAATGTCTTTAACTTTTTGCTGTTTTCCTGTCAAGGAAATACAATTTTTCTGAGTAGTGAAGTAAATTGCCAAATAATCAGAGCCTCGTTTTATTTTGTTTTGTTTAGGAAGCTTATTATTGAACTACAGAATTTTAGAGAAGGTACTGTAGAGATCATGTAAGTGAATTCTCACACACTCATGATGAACCTGAAACCCAGTTAGATGAGGTTACTGATGTAAGGTTACTCAGCTAGTTGATGGGACAGTCTTGGGGAAAATCTTTAGTGTCCTTCTTTGTATTTGAATTGCCATGTTAAGAACAGCAGTTGAAGGCCACTTCAGTGTTCACGTTCGATAAATAGTTATCTCAGTTCTGAGTTTTGGAATGACAGTGCCAATCTGGAATTATGGATTTTATGATAATCTTAGAAGACTATGAACTGGACTTCAGAATCTGAGATCTTGTTCCAGCTTCACCAAAGGCTTTATGTGATCATAAAATAGTAGTAAAAGTTAATTGCTTCATGCCTGTCACTGTTGTAAACATTGTCTAAGGTAATCTACAGCAACTCTATGGGGTAAGGATTATTCCTATTTTTCGTATGAGGAAACTGAGGCTCACAGAGATTAAGTTACGTGTTAACAGTTATGTAGCTGCTAAGTAACAGGATTAAGGTGCCAAGACAAAAAGATTTATCTGACCCCAGTGGTTAGTGCTTTTAACCATTAGGCAGTGCTGACTCCAGTCAGTTTTATTTTCAAGGGCTTATTTGTCTGTAAAGCAAAGGGTTTACTTCCCGCTTTAAAGTGTTCAATTTTATCTCAGTCTCTAATTTGAAGATTCTGGGATATTTCTCCCTCCTTTTTTTTTTTCTTTTGCTGTTTTATAGCTTATTAATGATAGTTATGTAGACAGTGTCAAGGAAAAGAAGCAAACTTCAGTTAATTCACTTATTGAAGTTGGAGAATTTTCTGTGACTTTGACTTACCCATGTTGAACTGGAGCCACCTGCTTGCATGAACGTTTGAGGTTTGGAGTATCATTTTGGAAGCTCTGGGATTTCTTATCTGGATTACAACTTTGACCTTTCAAGTTCTACTCTTCAGTGTGTCTAGTCTTACCAGAAGAAAGTATGAACCCTAGAACACCAAGATAAGTTTTTTGCTTGTAACCAATTTCAAGAGATTTCTTTATTGTGGTGACCTGATTAGAAGTTCATTTTTAGAGGAAACAAATTTTTAAATTCTCACATGATGTAACTTGTAACATACAGTGATGGAAAATGAGCCATCTCTGTGTTACATGGTTCAGTAAGTCACCTTCAGAGAAGGCAGGATTTGTCTTATAGTACCTTCTCCTTTGTTTTGTTAAAATTTTAAAACACAAGACCATTGTAGAGTGTCTGATAGCTATGATACTGCCATATTTTGAGTTATGAAAGAAATGGCCCTTGTTTACTTCTCATTTAATACAGACTTACAAGCAGAGCCCAGACTAGAAGTTTGGAAATCAGTGTGGTGAAGGGAAAAGACTGTGCTTGGGAGCCAGCCAAACCTATGTTTGACTGTTTCCTGGCTGTAGCCTTGGGCAGGTCAGCCTCTTGATCCTCAAGTTTCTTCATCTGTAAAATGGGGCTAATCTGACAGCGTTTATGAGAATTACATAAAATAATGTTTATGAAGTTCTTAGCTCATACGTGATATACAGTAAACATGTAGGTGGTGATTGTTCTCTTTGCAGTACTAGTTTATGTAAATCAAAAGTTCATCAGTGTGTGGCAACTTGATGTTTGGTGCTAGCGGTTAGGCGGATAAATTGTTAGTTGTGGAACATCTGTTGGAGACAGTGAACATCTGTTCTGAACTACTTTTGTATGTGGTTTGTGGTAACTGTTGATGGTTATCCTCTTGGTTATATCAACGGTGAGGCTTAAAACAGGCCTAGGAAATTCGCATGGTAACCTGACAGTCCTAAGCCAATTTCTTTTAATGCTGGTTGTTGCTAGTATGAGATGATAAAAATTAGGGTTTTTAAATAAAAGGAGTTTTATGCTGTTAATTCTCTTTGCTGATGGGTTTTGTGACTGGTATTCCAGATGCAGTAGTGGTAGTGATGTTCCTTTAGCCTAAGATGCGTATCTTAAGTCACTTCGTTAGCAGTAAACTGCTAAATGGTCTGATAGAGCAGGATGCTTAAGTATGAGATGCTTACTGTTTATGCCTATTCTTTTCGGCATCTTTAATTACTTACTGTCTTGGCCATATGATATTTTTGGGTTGTTTTAATCTGTATGTGAAGTGAATGTAGAGGAACCTGTCAACTCAGAGACCTGTAAGACTTTTAAGCCTGTTGAAATGTAGGTTCACACACTAAATATATTAAATCCATTTGAATATAAATAGTTGCTCCAGAATTTCTCAGCTTTATTTTCTAGCAATTAAGGTAGTTAACTATTGTCAGTATATCCAGGAATTCAACAGAAGCTATCACTATGTGATGGGCTTGTGGATAATCTATTGATTTCAATCAGGCTGAATATAAATAGGAAGACCATTTTCCTTACATAACAAGCTAATTTACATGTGAATTTGTTGTTAGAAATGCTGAGCTGAAAAACTATTTCTGCTGTGGCACAGTGGAATAAAAGCCACAAACAGTTGAAAGTGAACAGGTTTATTAAAAATCTTTGTCGTTGGCCGGGTGCGGTGGCTCACACCTGTAATGCTAATATATACTCTGGGAGGCCGAGGTGGGAGGAACACCTGAGCTCAGGAGATCAAGACCAGCCTGAGCAAGAGTGAGATCCATCTCTATTAAAAATAGAAATAATTAGCTGGGAACTACTAAAAATAGAAAAAATAGCCAGGCATGGTGGTGCTCACCTGTAGTCCCAGCTACTAGGGAGGCTGAGGCAAGTGGATTGCTTGAACCCAGGAGTTTGTGGTTGCTGTGAGCTAGACTGATGCCATGACACTCTAGCTCAGACAACAGAGCAAGACTCTGTCTCAAAAAATAAATAAATAAATAAAAAACCCTTGTCTTTTCCCATATGGTTTATCTTTCTTGGATCACATGCGGAAGATTTTTAGGTCTTTGAAGAAAAAAATTTCTTTTGATTTTTATCCATTCTGTCTCAAATGCTAGCTAGAAATGAGTGCACTTCTTGGAATATTATTTGGGAAAAAAGAGAACTTATACAATTGGTATGTTTTTGATTCTTATGATTTTAAGAAGTATTTATAACCCTGACTTTAGTATCTGGAAGATCCATCAATCAATTGGAGGTCTGGAGAAGATTCTGAATACTGTCTCTGACCTTAGCAACAGTTGTCACAGAAGGCTCCTATTATGATGTGTACTGCCATCACAAAAGTAGCCATTAACTACATTTTAAAGTTATCTGTTAGCTTATCTGAAATATAATATGTATGTGTGGAACAGCATTGATACTGTGTGGAACAACAAAGACCATTTGGAATTTTTTTTTTAGATTCTAAATGTACCAGACACATTTCTAAACATTGTGTAGAAAGCAATGAAAACTTAGCCAGAGGTGCTCTGTGCTTGTCCTTTTGAGATCTGCTTATTGGCTGCTTATGTCTCATTTTCATGTGAAGCAATCAGAAATATGTATTGCTGAGAAGCAGATGCTATTTCTGTTTTTGGTTTCCTTGTACAAGAAAAAAGCAAAGGGCATCAGAATTAGTTTTCCAGATTACTCAGATTCACTATTCTCACTACCAAAGCCCAGAAACTTTATTCTTTTACTTATTCTTTAACTTATTTATTTTAGTGCATTCTGATTTAAGTTACAGTCTCATTCTTACAGTTGTGCTCTTGTCTTTTCCCCCAGGAGCTGTATGTCTGATTTTCCTTGATTTACATTAAAGTACAAATTCATGTTGAAATGAGAAGTATTGCAATAAAATTAGTTATTTTATATTTCTATATAACAGTCCTCCAAGTTAAAAAAAATTTTAGAGTATTGAAAACTCATTCACTTTGTAAGTTTCTAAGTCACCTGTAAGTCAGGAAAATGACTGGTTGAAAGCTTGAGAACAAATGTCAGATTTGCTTTTAACCTACATTACCTTCAACAGGTCACCTTATTTTTCCAGTTTATTTCCCCCTATTTCTTTACTGGAGTAATTTACAGAATACATTTTTGTTTATTCAATTGATAATTTGAAGAATTTAAAGTGGTAATCCTGGAGACTTAAATATTTTATTAATTAAAGATATGGCTATTTTATGTAGGTCGTTTTCCTTTAGAAATTTGACTCTTCTATGTAAAATAATTAATTGGATTTTAGCCAGAAGAATTTGAGTTCAGTTTCTTGATGAATTGATGATAAAATTTTTTTGTTACAATATATTTATTGGTTGTATATAAGTATGCTTTTGGATTAGCAACAGATACATTCACTGATCTTATGGGGAAAAGTTCTTCGTACAATTCCAAGAACTGGTAGTTTTATTTAATTCAAAATTTGCATTTGTAAAAATTTGATGAGTTACTTGAGGAGGAAATACCAGTGTTCCTGGACAGTTCGGTTATGAGTATTTATTTTATAAACAAATCTTTCACAATTTGTTTAAAACAATATGGTAAGTGATCAGAGATCCTGGATGCTGGTTATTTAATATTGATACATTTCATTTAAAAATTTTCAGTTTGGTTATTGGTTGAAGTTTTTATGCAAAAAAGCAGGAATAAATTGGGTATTTTTGAAAAATTGATGGTAATGTCTTATGTGGGTTAATGATTTTGTATTTTCTCTACTTAAAAGTCAAGCTGGCTGGGCGTGGTGGCTCACACCAATAATCCTAGCACTTGTAGGCTGAGATGGGAGGATCACTTGAGGTCAGGGGTTCAAGACCAGTCTGAGCAAGAGACAAAAATAGAAAAAGTTAGCTGGGTGTGGTGACTTGCACCTGTAGTCCCAGCTACTCAGGAGGCTGAGGCAGGAGGATCCCTTGAGCCCAGAAATTTGAGGTTGCTGTGAGCTATGATCATGCCACTGCACTCCAGCCTGGGCAACAGAGTGAGACCCTGTCTCAAAAAAAAATAAAAAGTCAAGCTGGTTTTTTTTGGTAGTTCTATGGGGACACATCTGACTTTTATATTTAATGTGGACTGTTAATGGAAAATACAGAGTGTAAATTGAGCATGCTCAATGGATAACTTGTTAGCATTTTGCTTTACCAATACCTGTGTGTGATCTATCAGTGAAAAAAGGAAACTCAAACACTTGTGCAATTTATTTATTTATTTATTTTTTTGAGACAGAGTCTCACTGTGTTGCCCCGGCTAGAGTGCTGTGGCGTCATCCTAGCTCACAGCAGCCTCAAACTCCTGGGCTCAAGCGATCCTCCTGCCTCAGCCTCCCGAGTAGCTGGGACTACAGGCATGCGCCACCATGCCCGGCTAATTTTTTCTATATATTTTTAGTTGTTCAGTTAATTTCTTTCTCTTCTTTCTTTTAGTAGAGACGGGATCTCGCTCTTGCTCAGGCTGATTTCGAACTCCTGAGCTAGGATTACAGGCGTGAGCCACCGCGCCGGCCCTGTTGTGCAATTTATAAGCAAAAATAGTCCATTCCAAAGAGGGAGAGAAAGGAGAGAATAACCCACTTCTTGACTTTCTCACATTTTGCCTAAAAACAGAAATTTCCTCTACATTAAACAGAGGACTCCAAGACTGTCTTGAACAATTCCTTCTGGGAGGACAAGAGCTTGGTGTGGTTTCCTAGGGCCTGTGTTAAAGTTAATCCATTTGAGGAAGTGAGCCATTGATGGTCATCTCCTCTGGGAGGCTGCTCAAAATTTCAGTTGGGTAAATACACGGTTACCATATTATTCAAAACTTCATAAAGATGGTATTTATTTATGAGATGTATCCTACAGTTATTCCTCCGAGATGTGCAGAAACTGACCACTGGTTAAGGCAATGAAGAATAAAATACAGGCATTTTTATAGGCAGAATATGAATTTGTGAAAAACACTGCTTTTAACAGTCAGTATATATAGGAATCTTAATGCTTCAGGATGGGCTTCTCAACTCAAAATAGGAAGAATAAACATTTCTGAATAGATGACAAGACTTGGTAAAGATTAACACTTGAGGGGAATTAGTGAACTCTAGAAAGACTAAAGATGTGGAGAAGTTTAAATTTCAGTAGCAGAAATCAACAATACAAATGGTGATTTTAGATTTTTTTCTAAAAACTTCTAAATTCTTTGTGACTTTATTAGGAATCATACTTAAATTCATAATTCTTTTGCTGACTCTTATTTATCATTTCAGAACCACTCATGAATTCTTATTTGGTGCTCTTGCTGAACTGGTTGATAATGCAAGGTATGTTGTCTTCAGGCACACATTCTGTGCTTGGAGTGGAAACATTTTCGGTAGTGGTGACCTTTGCTCTGTGAAGACTCGAGAGGAAGACATTTCTGTAGCAGCTGCAACTCCTCAGAGGCCTCTTACTGAAAAAGTATTTTTGATAGCACATTAGTTGATACTTCCACTTTGTTACTTGATTGACTGAAATTCATTCATTGCTCTTTGTGTTCTAGCCGAAAAATAGTGAATTTACCACCTCCAAAACCACTTCCCTTGTGTATTAGAGCAAGGTAATTGCAGGGAATTAATACAGAAACTTAGGAATCAAATTAATGGGACAGATAAGCTCTGATTTAACTTGTGCTACCAGGACAGTATACTGTTTAATATCTTTAAAACTATGCCAGAGTTCTGTGTCTTCTCAAAATGTTTATTTTATTGTCAGATGACTCCAAATGATCAAAATGTCTTCCATTTTTAAAATTTGTTTTTTACAATACATCAATACATTCAAATAAGTGTCTTCCATTGTCAGCAGCTATGTTTGGAAGAAATCACTTGTCAGCACGATCTTATACTGAGTTCTTTATGATGGAATCATATAAATGTTACTGTGTAAGACTGAACAGAAGTTTGGGTTGGTTCCAAGACAAAGATCAAAGTCCAAATCAAGATTCCGTTTATAATTATATTATGAAAATATTGTCCCAGTCTTATTCCTGAATGCAAACATAAAATTCAGACCCATCGTTTATTGACCAGGTGTTGATAACTAATGAAGGAAGAAGAGGGTAGGAGTTGACATAGAAGTTTTTCTAACTAGATCCCCAGTTAATGAGCTTGTTGATAATTTCTTATATTTACCCATCTCTATACAATAAACCTATTCTGTTATTACATTTGTTGTTGCTCTTAACTGGACTGCTCATGGGAGTATGCTAGTTGAGTTGTTTAACTGGAAAACTCCCATTTTATTTCAATCCTGGTTGCCTCATAATTTTTCTGTTCAATTAAAATATATTGTAGCTTAATGGAAACTGTGTGAATTTGCCACTTATTAACTTAGACCAGGTATATGGTGGCAGACTGCTTTTTTATGTATCATACAGTGAACTAGAGATTCCTGGGAGTATATATTCCTACTCATGCATACATTTTGCCAGTCTCTCATATTTGAAAATGTTTTTGTATCTTTGAGAATAGGTACATGTACAACTGTGTGGATTTTGAGAAGTTTTTTGCATTTAAAGCCAGTGAAACGGTTTCATTTTCCTTGCCTGCAATTGGCAGAATTGGACTAAGTTAATTCCAAGCCTTTATAGAAATCTTCATTGATGACTGAATCTGTATGATTTCAGCCAATGGCTGGAGTCTAATGGGGGACCCCAACTTCCTTTCAAGGTTAGGGAGGATAACAGTGTAAATACCACAAGACTTGGTTTTCACAGGTTTTGTGGCAGATTAATATTATTTTCCTTTTTTCTTAAACTCTTAGCGTGAAGGAAAAAATGCACAAGTTACTGGAACTTTTTTTATGATTGCAGTCAAATGAGTGAGAGAAACAAATATTTGAGTCATTTCTTTGTGTGTAAAGGGAAATATTCTTGTTTATCCTATAGATATTTTCACCATGAAATCAGCATTGAAAAAAAGTATCCACGTCCTAAGTGTCATGTGATTATCTTAATTTGGGGCTTCAGAAATGTTTTACAGATATATAAGGAAAATTGTGTTGCCAAGTGTAAAAGTACAGCTTTAATGTATGTAGAATTTCTGTGTAGTTTCCTGAAAACAGACTCAATACTATGCATTTCACTCAAAATAATATGCATTTAGATAGTTGATATCTCATATTCTCATTTGGATCTTGATTTTTTCTTTTAATTTTACAGAGATGCTGATGCCACCAGAATAGATATTTATGCAGGTAACTCAGACTTTAGTCCTTTCTTCTAACGCCTAGTTAATATTAATATTTTTATTAGTGTGTCTAAGAAAAAATGAGTGGTTTCTGGAGCCTGCGGAGATAGCACTGTTACTCTAGGTCATAGGTAGAAACAGGGTGGCCCTAGTTAGGTATAGTTGGCCCTTGTCAGGCATAGAAACCAAGTATATTGGTTTTGAGAAACTAACATGGGATATCCAGATAGCCACAGGAGATTTATTAGAGTGACAGAGTAAAGTCGTAGGGAGTCAAGTGAGCAAGTACTGGTCATTTTACTGGTTGGAGTTAGCAGGTGAACCAGGCTTGTGGTTTCTACAGCCCAGGAGAGAGTTTGTTTGAGGCCATATTTCTCCCTCTGCGTCCTTGGTGATTACCAGTCCCAACTTGGAGAGTTGCTTGTGTCAGTTGGAGAAAACAGCTGGTAACTGGGTCGGCTCAGGTTTACGGAGATGTTCTCAGACAGAGATGTCAGATGGGAAAGAAAGCCACTGGCTTGGAATTTAAACCTGTCAACGGCCTTTGATTGGCTCCTGTTTTATAGTAAGATTTTTTTTTTTAGAGTGGGTGCAACAGTAGTTATTATTGGCCTTTTATTTATTTTTTTAATAGTTTACTTTCTGCCTTGTATTAGAACCTTTTTTGGTCATTTGAATACCAAAAATTTGGAAGACAGCTTTTAAATGCAATTTAGCTAGTGTGCTATGTTTTTCTGACATAGCATTTGATAAAAGGGAAGAAGTACACAACTAAATAGTAATTCTCAGAACCTCCAATGTCATATAATTATGAAGAGTCTCTACCAGATATGATGAATTTCTCATGCCTCATGTACTTTGGAGCAAAGAGAATCTTCAGAGCAGCTAAAACTCAGCTATGCTGCTTCAATTCTGAAAGCCGTCTGTTCAGAAGGCTCTGCCAAAGTGGTGAAAACAAGGCTTCTTTTATTTTTAGAAAAAAGTAACAGGAAAAAGGGTGCGCAGCAGAAGAATGTTAGAAGATGGTTACTGAACCGCCAGGCCAGATGGAGGTGCCTTTCCAAGCCACAGCATGCATCTTATACCTGAGTGGGCTTTCGTGAGGAATGGTAACAGCTACCTCTAAAAGAAACTGTGGCTGTTTTAATCATTGTACAGATGATAAAGCAGAGAATGGGCTTCTACTCCGAGTGATGTTGAAGGGACATAATAGCCTAGTGTATTTAGAAGAAGTTTTTGAGAAAGGTCATTTCTGCTCTCTGCTATCACCTTTGGCAGTTTCATCAAGGAAATTTAGTTTTTAACACTCAGAATGCAGCAGAACACTTGGATTTCAATTCAAATGAAAAAGACCCAGTGTGCCTTTATTCTGTGCTCATTGCTACTTTTGTTGTGCTTTGGGAAAAATCTAGAGAGGATGAGATGGGGTCTTTGCTTTAAGAACTTAGTCTCTAATTGGAGAGACAATTAGTACACTGTAGATAATTAAAGAACAATAACTAGATCTTGAGGGAATAGTCAAGACAGTTAAGGATTAAATGGTGTGATAGAAGCTCTAAGCACCATAGCATTTTGGAAAAAGACTTGTGCTCTAAGTACTTTGAGATTGGAAGTCTTGGCTGAGGCACCTTTAGCCTCACACTTTTCTACTTTAGGGCCTTATTAACGCTTTTAGCAGGAAGAATAAAAGTAATGGAATCAGTAATAATAATATTATAAAGTTATTGTTTTAGTACCTGGAGGAAGGCATTTTCTTTATCTCCAATTCTGAAACTAGATTGATACTGAACTTGGAAATCTTGCTAAACATCAGATGTAGTTTGAAGTTGCCACAAAGTCACATTTTGAAGACTGTTTAAACCCAAGAAGGGTGAGAAGAAGCCAGCTTCTCAAAGTGTAGGGGTGTTTACCCAGAGCATTCTATTAGTTGGGGCTGGACCATAATCTGCCTGTCAAAAGTAGAATGTGTTTTTATTGACATTCTTGACTTCCTGCGTTAGGTAGTGCTACCTCCTCAAAGAAAGTTCCTTTTTGATGCCAGGGGAGTGGCTAATAAATGGAAAATTAGAGCAAATGAAATGAAAATTAATACTGCTCAAACAGATTGCAGAATATGCTGAGGAACTTGGATGTCATTTTATTACAGCAGCCTCTGCTAAGGACACCATTATTTTATCGCCTCTGATATCACCTCTGACTTTTTAATTATAGCTCCATTTGAGAGCTCTTCTCCTGCTGCTTTCTTTTTTTCTGTTCTCAGTGGGAGATGGATGAGGGATATCAGGCTTGGACAAGGCAGACTTGGCCATGTTGGGAGATTTGTACCTTTCAGACTGGTTCTAACACTCTTACATAGCTGTTACCAGGATCTGAAGCACACCTGCAAAGAAAGCAGTTTGGCTTTGTCTTCCCTTCTTGCTTCCAGATGTGTGATGGGAGGGGGAACACATAACTTTCAGCTGCTTAGGCTCTCTGTCCAGAATTCCCCCTCCTTCATGCCAGTTCTTTCCTTGGAGGCTTCAGGTATCACTCAGTTCATTGATTAAAGTAAATATCAGGTGTTAGGGATGAATCTCTGCGGTGGAATGTCTGGGGAGATAGTTTGGAGCAAGGAAGCCTTCTAGTTCTTGCTTTGTCTATCTCAGTACTTCTCAAAGGCTGGTTCACCCAAAGGCAGTGTAGTATCACCTGGGAGCTTGTTAGAAATGTAAATTCTCAAGCCCCACCTCAGACCTACACAATCATACTATCCAGGGTGGAGCCCAGTATCTATCTATATTTTTTTTTTTTTTTTTTTTGAGACAGTTGCCCTGGCTAGAGTGAGTGCAGTGGCGTTAGCCTAGCTCACGGCAACCTCAAACTCCTGGGCTCAAGTGATACTCCTGCCTCAGCCTCCCGAGTAGCTGGGACTACAGGCATGTGCCACCATGCCCGGCTAATTTTTTCTATATATTTTTAGTTATCCAGATAATTTCTTTCTTTTTTTTTTTTTTTTTTTTTTTTTTTTAGTAGAGATGGGGTCTCTCTCTTGCTCAGGCTGGTCTCGACCTCCTGAGCTCAAACAGTCCGCCTGCCTCGGCCTCCCAGAGTGGTAGGATTACAGGCGTGAGCCACCGCACCTGGCCTCTATCTGTATTTTTACAAGCTCTTTGGGTAATTCTTAATGCACAATACATTTGCTCCAGCCGACTTTTCTTGGCCTCCTTCGGGTTAAACCCACCTGATCTTTTACTCCTTACTTCATCTGTTGCAGAGAGTAGAATCCATTAGACTGTAAGCTCCATGAAGACATGATCACATCTGCATTGTTCACTGCTCTTGTCCTCATAGTAGAGTCAGGCACACAAGAGGTGCTCAGTAAATATTAAAATAGTTATTGAATAAACAAGCGATTGGCATAGGGATTGTAACCAGGTAAAGACACCATACCGTGTCTGTTTACAAAGTTGAAGAAGTACTGCTGTATTGAGTCTTTCTTGGCCCTGAGGCAGTATTGCATGCAACCATGGATCTGGACACTAGTAGATATTTATAGGCTATTGGCCACTGTGTGACCAGGAGGATCCTCCCAGTGTAGGTCTTGTACCCTTGTAAACTACATGAAAAAGCTTTGAAATGAAGTCCTTGAGCCAGAGAGGGACCCAGACCCATTGTTAAGTGATGATTGTGTGTTAAAACAGCCTGGGAGTTCTAACACAAGGGCTAGAAGGTAACTTTCTAGGTAGTGTTCAAAGAATGCCGGTAATCTTTGGGGACTTGTGAGATGTGCTTGGCTTGAATCAGTTTCTAGATCCCAAAGCAGAGTCTTCATGAAAATCTTATGGCTGTAATGTACAGTAAATGGCTCTTGGCTAGATTTAGAACACAGAGTTTAGGATGCTCTATACCTGACCCAGTTTGAGTCTCCATATGACGTTTTGCTTCCTCCAGATGGAAACTTCGAAACCTTTTTGCACTTTTCTTATACTCGTTCTTGCTTGCCGTATCTCATTTGGATTCCCCAGACTCTGGTAAGAGGCACTACCATAAAGAGAAATTTTCTAGCTACCAGGAAGAAATTTTCTATCTTCCAAAAACTTTCTTGAACTTTCAAGAAATTTGGCCGGGCGCGGTGGCTCACGCCTGTAATCCTAGCACTCTGGGAGGCCAAGGCGGGCGGATTGTTTGAGCTCGGGAGTTCGAGACCAGCCTGAGCAAGAGCGAGACCCCGTCTCTACCAAAAATAGAAAGAAATTAATTGGACAGATAAAAATATATAGAAAAAATTAGCCGGGTATGGTGGCGCATGCCTGTAGTCCCAGCTACTTGGGAGGCTGAGGCAGTAGGATTGCTTGAGCCCAGGAGTTTGAGGTTGCTGTGAGCTAGGCTGACGCCACGGCACTCACTCTAGCCAGGGCAACAAAGTGAGACTCTGTCTCAAAAAAAAAAAAAGAAGTGGTAGTAATTAACGTTCAGTTTCCCGAACACTGAATGATGCTTGAAAATCTGTATGGTTTACAGCCCTGCTGAAATAGCATTTTAGATTACATTAACTGGTCTATTTAAAGAGGGCAGTTATGACTCACTTGAATTTTTAGCTTGAGGGGAGGACAAAGAACATTTTAAACTGAGATTTGTCAGCTTAGATAGTTGTAGAAAGTTAGTGAACTGCCACTTGGGGGAGATTTAGAAAATCCTCAGTTAGGGATCAGGCTCTAAAGCAGCCTTAGGCTTGTCACTATAGTACTTCACACAGCTCTCCTTTGTTTTAGAAGTACTACCTTTGTTCCTTGCCAAGCAGCATCTATACTGGGAGGTTGGTGTTCCTTCCTTGGCTTGTGTGGGTCCCCTGCCTACACCTGTGCCTCACATCCTTCTCTTTGTGTCTGCATTTCCCTGATTCTAAGGCTAGTTTCTCCTTTGGTCACTTAGTCCTCCTTGGGACAAATGGCACCTTGGAGACTAGTATAGCCCCCTTCCCTATTTGGGAATTGCTTCTCCATTGTCCATGACATGCTTGGACCCGGACTGTTTTGAGTTGCCACTTGATGCTGCAGAGGACACCTGCTGAAGGAAGAGATTCTTCCATTGACTGGAATGGCAGCCACAGTCTGTTGTGTTCCTTTCCTGTTGTGCAGAAAGCTCTGCCAAGGCTTTTGTGTATCTTATTGTCAAAGGACTGTTCTTCCTTCTAATCAGGCAGGTCCAGCTGAAAACCAGGCATGTCTCACTGTTCTTGTGCCTTCTTGCTTCTGGGCTTGAGAGCCCTTTCAAAGACTCATAACTAGCAGGGGATCTGATGATGTATACAAATAGCCCAGAAATGGCAGTTAGCTTGGGAACAGTCATATATAGACACAGTAATTCATTTTTTAGATAGCAGCTCTTACCACTATGCCCATGCCATGTCTGGCTTGATCAGTTTGTCTGAAGGCTACCCCAGACTTAACTGACAAAGAGGTACCCTGTTGAGTTTGAGGAGTGTTGATAAAGTGTACAGTGTGTAATAGGCGGAGTACTTCAGTGGCTTGGGGTCTATAGCATAGGGCTGAAGTGATAGTAATCCAGGTGGAGAGAGGCAGAAGGATGATGATGTATGTGAAATACATTCATTGGTCTCGGATGTGGGTAGGTGCCAGACCAGGTATTCCCTGCCCTCCTTATAGATTCTCTCAAACTTTGTCATGAACTAGAAAGCATTAGAGAATCTTTGATGGCAATTCACACCCTCAAGGACCCTGAAGTTTAATTCACACTAGCCTAGGAAGCTAGGTTTGACCTGACCTTTTTGGAGCAAGCTTCGTGTCGATCCACCTTCTGATAATACCCAGGTAGCTACCCTCTGGTGAGTAACAGTCTACTAATGGCAGCTGCTTCTTTTACAGAAAGACGGGAGGACCTTCGAGGAGGGTTTATGCTTTGCTTTTTGGATGATGGAGCAGGAATGGATGCGAGTAAGTGATGAGATGATTTTGTTTCTTTGGGGGAGGATATAACCATTTTTATAAAATACTGATTATGTGAACTTGTTTTTCTGTTGCTTCGGTGTTGTAACTAGAAGATCCACCTGGAGAGTGAGAAGCCTATTGCAACATCTGGAGCTTAATTCCACTAATGTATTTGCTGGATCTTGTCCTAACATGGGAGATAGGATCTGAATGGCAACCTGAAATCAGTCAGATTATGTGTCTCTTGACATTGTATTTATCAGCTTGCACAACATCCCAGAGCCGGAACTACAGAGGCCTCCCCCAGCCTTTTTACCATGTTCTAGTAACAGAACACAGGTCATAGCAAGGGAGGTACTGACAGGCCAGGCAAAGCTTGCCTCCATTTGCCTCACGGCTGTGAACTTCCTTGGAGAGAGATTTTTAGTAGACACATAGCCCTGCTAGAATTTAATAAGGCTCAGGCCTTTGACTTTGAGGAGCCTGGGAAAGAAATGTAAACTTTCCACTTTCTCTGTGTCTGCCACTTCAGGTGATGCTGCCAGTGTGATCCAGTTTGGGAAGTCGGCCAAGCGAACACCTGAGTCCACCCAGATTGGGCAGTACGGGAATGGGTTAAAATCGTAGGTATACTAGAAGCCTGTCACAGGGCTCAAAACAAAATCAAGCGATGCTCACCTCCTTGTCCCTCCATGACTGTAACTCTGGAAGAGGAGGAAAGTCAGAAAGCAGTGGTGCTTTGGGGTTAGCTTACCAACTGTTGTCCAGCTGAGTTTGCTCCACAGATTGAAAAGTATGAACGTCCAAAACCAATTAGAGCAGGAGAGACTGTAGGTTTCTCTTGGCATTGTACTCTAGGCATCGTCCCTCCCCTTCTGTTGAAAATTCTTATTTTTACCCTGTAATTGAGGATGTGAGTGATACTCTTGTGGGGAGATGATGAGGGAGTCACCTCACAGTGCAGCAGTGTTCCCTAAGCACCTGCTACACATCACCCTTTGTGCCAGGCACTGGGGATCCAGGGTAAGAGAGATGTGAGCCATCTGTCCCAGCTGACTGTGTCTCCGTGCACATGTCCTGCAAGGCCTTATAGCAGGAACCTATCTAATGTCTTCAAATCCCTTGGGACTTCTTTTCTTAGCCCTTGGTTCCCACTTGTTTAGTGTTTGGAATGTGTTGTTCTGGTTTTGTGAAGCCCCAAGAGAAAGATTTCTATTTCTGAAATGCTCACTTCCAGCTGTACATACCTTTGGATGGAATAAGATTTAGTGGAATTGGAGTTTGTGCAAATGGAATTATGAGTCACATTTCCAGTCTTGCTGTGGAAACGGTTTGAGAGAGGGTGGTGGTTTGATCAGTCAACTGCATCAGGTGGGCCTCACGTGCAGTGTGCTTTGCGTGTGTGGAGAAGGAGAGTACTTCCAAAGAAATTGGGGACCGGATACCTGGACTTTGTGAGTTGTCTTTCAGGGTGGAAACCAAATGGTAATAACGAGCACTTACCGTGTGCCAGGCACTGTGCTAACATCTTTACATAGATGATCTTATCTAATCTTCTTTAGAGCCCTATGAGGTATCGGTACTATTCTCATTTTCAGATGAAGAAATTGAGGTTTGTGGGGTAAAGTGACTTGCCCAAAGGTGTAAAGATGCCTACGTGTAGAGGTAGGATATGAACCAGGTCCTTCTGACTGCAAAATGAAGCTGCTGTCCATTTTACTACAATCAGACAAGCTGAGGTTCAAATCTTGCCTCTGCCACTTAATTACTTCTGAGCCTCAGCTTCCTCTTTTGTAGGTGGAGATTGTAATTCATACCAAGTGCGTTAAAGATTACATGCCATCATTGCTGTGAGAACCTGGCTTCTGGCTTCTTATTTTATTTCTCCTTTGATCTTTCCATGGCAGATTCCTGCCCTGATTCAGTGGGTCTGGGTAGGGCCTAGGAATCTGTTTTTTCACAGATGAGATGAATCATCTCTAATCACAGATAAATCACCTGGGGTTATTTGGATGATGATCTAAGTTAAGTTCCCAATAACCGAGGTCTCCTAGAGTCAGTGGAAACTCTGACTTACTTATCTGGATTGTAGGTTGGCCACCTCCTACCTGGTTCTCAGTTTTGTGGCCTTAGGCAAACCATTTTACCTCTGTTCCTTAATTTAGAAAATGGAGTTCTAATTGCTCACATTCTCCCTTACAGAGTGGGGTTCAGGAGCAAATGAAATGTGACTCTGAAAGTGCTTAGAAGACTGTGAAATAAAGTGTGCAGAAGTTAAGAGTGTTGTCATTAGCATATATTAGTAGAAGACTTTTGGGAAGGTCCCATTGAGATGGAGCCATCTAGTGTTCATTGTTACTCTGAACCAATTTTGGAACCAATTCAGAAGTTAAGAAAAGAGCTCTGGGACGTGATTTGTGGTGAGAGTAGGGCTGAGAAGCAGGAAAGCCAGCAGAGAAGGTGGTGTTTGGGGTGCTTGCTATTCAGGCTCTAACATCAGGATGAAAGACAGAGGAAGGAAAGAGGAACAAAGTGAGTTTTTGCCAAATTAGGGCAAGGGCAAACTTTGACAGAAGGCGAGATAATATGCCTCATTTTGCCACCCATAAGCTTCAGGGAAGAAGGAGGAGGACTGTGAAATTGTCAGAGGAGGGAGCATTGCCAGCATTTTGGGTACTGGGGGAGGAGAAACAGCACTTGGCAGCCCCCAGGGCATTTCTGGATAGTGTCCTGGAGCTTCCTGAGTGTTTGGGGAAATGGGGCATGACATTCATTTGTGTGCTTGGCATGCCAATCTGGTTTGTATTTGTACATAGAAAAGAGTAATGAAGCTTCCAACCTCCATCATCTCCCTGGGGCATTATGAAAACTAATGAGATAATAGCCATAAAGCCCCAGAAGCTGCTCGGAAGAAAGGAGCTAAACAGCCCCATTGTTCGGTGGGCAGTCCTCCCACTGGTGCTTCATGCTTTTGCCCTGCTCTGTGCTGCCTGGAGAGGCCTGTCCCTGTCTGCTTCTTAGATGGTTTAATGTGGCCAAACAGAAGAAGGAAGCAGTTGATTCCATTCAGAGTTTTGCCTTGTAGAAGTTAGCCTCAAGGCACAGTTACCAGAAACCCAAGGCATCCAAAAGCAGGGAGCTGCCTGGGTCATGATGAGCTTGAGATGGTAAAACAACTCTGAGACAGGAGATGGGCTATAGTTATTGGACATGAGCTAATTACAGGCCTCCTTGAATACGGTGGTCAAGAATCGTATTTTGTTAGCCCTAATGTTTTGCTGAACCTTGCATTCATACTGTTTTTTTGAGGACTTGTGAGTGTAGGGACTGGGCTGTTTGTTTGATGGTACTGCCATTTGATGAGTGGACAAGAGGGGGAGTTTGTGTCCGCAAAGGAAGGACAGGATGGGAACTGAGTGTGGTCAGCATGGAAGATGACGTGTTGAAGGTACCAACCACTGGAGAGAAGTTGATAGTGGCACAGTCAGAGGGCACAGCAACTCTCATGTGGCTTGGATCAACCTAGAGCTCAAGGAGAGCTGGGTTACTTGTTAACGTTGTTGGCAACAGGCTTGCAGTGAGACTAACCTGAGGCTGGTGGTTGGCAGTGAACATGTCCTAGAAGGGTGGTGAGAGAGCCCTGTATGTGTGATCAAGAAGGTAGTAGCTTAAGGCTAAGGAATTAACAGGCCAGTGGAAAAGCAGAGGAAGGAGTGTCAGAGGGGTAGAGAGGGAACAAGGGCTGTGGAACTCAGGGCAGAGTCCTGGGACCTAGGGAGGCCTTTAGGAGAGTCCTCCAAAGGTGGTTTCAACCACATCCAGAGAGTAGAGTTACTCTGCTTTTTCAGATGAGCTTTGGAATCCCTGGGAGAATAATCTGTTTCTGCTTCCCTTTCAGGGGCTCAATGCGCATTGGGAAGGATTTTATCCTCTTCACCAAGAAGGAAGACACCATGACTTGCCTCTTCCTGTCTCGCACCTTTCATGAGGAAGAAGGCATTGATGAAGTAGGTCCCACCCCCGTGGTCTGAATCACCACTCCACATTTCTTGGTTCTGCCCAGGCTGTTTTCATAGGCTGTTTGCAATGCTGGGCTCTTTGGGGCTGCCGGCTCGGAGCACATGCCCCCTGTTGTTAGCTGGTTGGATGAATTGGTTGAGGAGTTATGGCAGATACCTTTAAGGTGAGAGGAAGCAAAACCTCAAAGCACTTTAGAGAACAGCTGTCCTGTTTCTGTGAATAAGACCATCAAGTGTCAGGACTTAAGAGTTGGACTTGCAGCCCCTCTAGATCTGCAGTTTGAATTCCATTGGGGTGGGGGAGGTGTTACCATGGAGAGTTGTTTTCTCTGGGAGTATTTTGGGCTTCTGTGTGTTTTTCCTGTATGATGGTGATTTTGTGGAATGTGCTATGAGTGCATTTTCCTTTTGAGGAAATGTGTTGCTCTAACTGCCTATGTCAGAAACCATGAATCAGATACCTACAGAGCCTGAGCAGGTTGTGAAGCCAGGTGAGCATACGGAAAACATCAGCAGGAAAATGACAGCTAATGCTCTGGGTCTCACTTTGGGAGTGGCTGCTACCCAGCCCCAGGCGTCATTGCTATGCTGCAAGGAAGGCTTAACGAATCCAGAATATTCTGACTTTAAAACATTTTGGTAATTAACTAACTGTGTGAGCTAAACATACGATCAGCTGATTCTCTTTGTGGCCTGGTGGCTCAGATATCTGCAGAGCTGTTTCTAGTGAAGTCTGTGCCCCCTTATTGGGGGGATCAGGGAAGCCCTCCCTTCCCCTTTCATGTGTGAGAAATGGAAGCCAGGGCTTGATAGAGGGCTAAGAGTTTCTGTAGAAGGAAAGCTTTTTTTAGGAATCCATGGCTATCACATAAGTAGATAGATAGCTGAATTCAAACTTTCAATCTAACTGATTTTTGTCAGCTGTGATTAAATTTATACTGGCCCTTTTTAGATCTCATCCTAAATCATAGCAAATGATTATAGTTCACGCTGAGAGTAGCAGGCCATCTTTTCCTTCCATCTTTACTTAGCAAGCTAGTGGGTTTGTTTGCCTTTGTCTTTTCCGTGTGGTATGTTAGTTCATTCAGCACGCTTGGAGTGAGAAAAGTGCTGCAGCTGGAAAGAGCAGGCTTCTAGGAGAAGGTAGGACAAGAAAGTGGAGCCTGGGCTGGAGTTTTCAGGAATGTTTCCTAATGAAGGACTAAGAGTGGTGAGAAGAGGATGTTCCAGTCAGGAGAAGCAGCCTGCTTAAGGCTCTGAGAGCTGTGGCAGGGGAGGAGTTGACAGTAGGGCCACCCGAAGAAAGGTGGTAGCCTCTGGATAGCTGGGAGGGCGAGGTTAAGCTTGATCTCAGGGCCTTGTTAAGTGTGTGGGACTTTTTTTTTTTTTTTTTTTTTGTTGAGACAGAGTCTCACTGTGTTGCCTGGGCTAGAGTGCCGTGGCGTCAGCCTAGCTCACAGCAACCTCGAACTCCTGGGCTCAAGCGATCCTCCTGCCTCAGCCTCCCGAGTAGCTGGGACTGCAGGCATTCGCCACCATGCCCAGCTAATTTTTTTTCTATGTATTTTTAGTTGTCCGATTAATTTCTTTCTATCTTTAGTAGAGGCGGGGTCTCGCTCTTGCTCAGGCTGGTCTCGAACTCCTGAGCTCAAACAATCCGTCCGCCTCGGCCTCCCAGAGAGCTAGGATTACAGGCGTGAGCCACCGCGCCCGGCCTGTGTGGGACTTTTTTAAGCAAGGGTGTACCAGTATCAGATTTTCTTTTAAAAAGGTCTGTGTGGTCATTACTTGGTGATTGGATTGGAAAGGTTGGAGGTAAGTGTTGGAGGGGACCAGCTGAGAGGCCCAGGCTGTGTGTAGCTTGGTGGGACTTGCAGTAGGGAGGTGAGAGGAATAGATGGAGTCGTCATCTCTTTAGGATGTCATACCCCTCAGGTTTGGTAAGTGGAGCGGGGAAAAAGGGAAGGGAGAGGTCATGGATGACTCACAGATTCTCCTGTGGATTGGGGTGGGGTGGTGCTGTCTGGAGCTGGGAAAGAATGAAAGAGGGGCAGTGTGGAGGGGAAGAGTGTGAGTTTCTTCTGGATGGGCAAAGTGAAGTCTGGGTCTGGAGTTCACTGAAGGTCTGGGCTCCAGCATTCTTGGTAGCAACTGAGGTCACCTAAAGGAGAGAATAGAGTGAGAAGAGGACCTGGGACCTGGGGCATGCCATCATCTAAATGGTAGGGAGAGGAGAAAGTGGCAAAGGAGACGGAGAGGTGGCCAGAAAGGTAGGAGGAAAACCGGGTGAGTGGTGTCATTGAAGCTAAAGGAGAAGTGTTCCAGCGGAAGGGACGGGTGCCTGTGGGAGTGAATGCCCACGGTTCACAGTGATGCTGTTGTCACCGGGGAGTGCAGTGAAGAATGGAGGCGTAGAGGTACCGTAGGTTCACAGAACACAAATGGAACTTGATTCCCTTGCTGGAGAGGCTAGGTTGAGATTTCTTCCTTACTTGGTGTTAGAAGGTCACTATTTTAGATTGTACTCTAGTGTGAGCTCAGCCAAGATTTCAAAATAAAATCACTTTCAGTTGAGGAGAAATGTGTCCAAACCAGCCCCAGGGTTGAATACTTCAGCACAAAGCTTCTTAGAAACCAACAAAATGTCTCAGAACTCTTTAACAGTTTATCACCCTTACACTTAAGATACAGAGTCCCTTTTTCCTCAGGTGGGCCATCTGGTTTGAACCCCCGAGGTGCCTGGACTGGTTTCCTCTACAGGGGGAATCCTTCAGTCAGCTCCACAGGCTCTGCAAGGGCTGCTGGCTCAGGGAGGGGGAGGGGCACAGTGAAGCCTCTGGGGGAAGTGGCATCTGAGGTTGGGTTTTTAAGAATGTAGGATTTGGCCAGGCGCGGTGGCTCATGCCTGTAATCCTACCACTCTGGGAGGCTGAGGTGGGCGGATTGTTTGAGCTCAGGAGTTCGAGACCAGCCTGAGCAAGAGTGAGACCCCCTCTCTCCTAAAAATAGAAAGAAATGATCTGGATAACTAAAGATATACAGAAAAAATTAGCCGGGCATGGTGGCACATGCCTGTGGTCCCAGTGACTCGGGAGGCTGAGGCAGGAGGATTGCTTGAGCCCAGGAGTTTGAGGTTGCTGTGAGCTAGGCTGACGCCACAGCACTCACTCTAGCCTGGGCAACAGAGTGAGACTCTGTCTCAAAAAAAAAAAAAAAAAAAAGTAGGATTTTTAAAAAACATTACTTAGACATTATTAAAACTAAATTCCATGTATATGGAAGAGTGTATTAAAATGTATGTACAGTTGAGAGGATAATTGTAAAGCCAGCCTCCATGTCGCCACCATCATAGACTGATGTTAGACCTTCTTTGTGACCTTACCAACTATATTCCTCTTTGCTCCCCTGAAGGAACCACCTTCAGGTAACTTTTCCGATGATCATTTCCTTCTGTTTCTCTATAATCGGTCACCTGTGTATGTGTCCTTAAATAATATTGTTTGGTTTTGCCTGTTTATGAATTTTATAGAAATGAACTCGTACTGTAGGGTTTTTTGTATCTTGTTTCACGTAACATTGTGTTTGTGAGATTCATCCATGTTGATGCCAGTAGCTGTTATTTTGTTCATTTTTATCACTGTTATAGTATTCCATTGTGCAGTTTAATTTAGCTACTCTGGAGTGGATATTTGGGTTACTTTTATACATATTTACTGGTACATATGTAAAAAAGTTTATCCTAGGATATATATGTAGGAGTGGAATTGCAGGTTATGTTATGTATATCTTCAGATTCACTAGATAATTGCAGATATATTTTCCCCAGTGGTAAGAGAATTTTTACCAAATTAAGAAAATGACTAAGGACGTTCCAAATAGGGGACTTCCCCTGCAGAGACCCCCTAGCATGTCCTAAAGGAAATAGTGATGGACGGCTGAGTCTTCGCAAGGAACAGAAACCACAGAGCCTCTGGTGCCAGGCTGTGGAGCCTGGGCCTCACCTCTAGGACAGTGTGGAGCCATTGTGGGAAGGGACAAGACAGAGGCATGTTTTGGGTAAAGGCTTTTCTGGGTCCTCCCTAAAGTGTCTGCTTGTGCTTACTCTAAAGGTGATAGTCCCATTGCCTACCTGGAATGCTCGGACCCGGGAACCTGTCACAGACAATGTGGAAAAGTTTGCCATTGAGACAGAACTCATCTATAAGTACTCTCCCTTTCGCAATGAGGAGGAAGTGATGACCCAGTTTGTGAAGATTCCCGGGGACAGTGGTAAGTAGGCCTGGAGCCTGCAGTCCCTAGAACCCAGAAGGGGTGCTCTAGAGCCACGACTGGTGTGGGGATGGGCCAGGGCCGCCTGGCAGGATGAAAGGAGGATGTCTTTTCCCCAGGAACACTGGTGATCATCTTCAATCTCAAACTCATGGATAATGGAGAGCCAGAACTGGACATAATCTCAAATCCAAGAGATATCCAGATGGCAGAGACCTCCCCAGAGGGCACGTAAGTGTGACTGGAAAGGGAGGGAGGCCCTAAAACTGGTGCTCATTTTCTCAGGAGGTGACTCTAAGGAAAGAGGGGGGAGGTCATTCCTTGGATTTCTCTCGGTGGCATTGTTGGAGTTGATGAAGCTGAGAACTCCATGTCTTCTTGCCACAAGGCAGAGGGGTGAATAGAAGGAGAGCAGATCCTCAGCTAAGCTAACAGAAAAGATTAACGATCTCCTGCTCCAACTCCTTTATTTGACAGAATCTGAAGCCTAGAGAGGGGAGAGGAATTGCCCAGGGTTCCATGTAGGGCAGTGGTAGGGCCAGGTCAGGTGTTTGGGGCAGTGGGGGAGGGGGCATCTCTGCTAGGCATGCGAGAAAGGGCAGGATGTGGTACTACCTGAGGGTACACCCTGTCAGGGCAGCAAGAGAAGCTGAGAAGTGAGGTGGGAAGGTGGAGGGCCTGCAGAAAGGATGGCGTGCCCTTGGTCAGGCTTGTGGGTCGGGTGATGGCACTTCTTTATCCTGCCGCCTCCAGGAAGCCAGAGCGGCGCTCGTTCCGAGCCTATGCTGCCGTGCTCTATATTGATCCCCGGATGAGGATCTTCATCCATGGACATAAGGTGCAGACCAAGAGGCTTTCCTGCTGCTTGTATAAGCCCAGGTAGGGGCCTGCACACCTGGCCTGCTGTTTCCCATGGGCCAAGGATATAGCCATGTTTCTCTGGGGCATTGTTGGAAGGATGCAGTATGAGGGGCTCTGATAGTGCTGGCTGCATTTGGGCCTTTAAATACTGCCTGTGACTGATCATGGAATCACTTCTGGGACCTGAGGAAGGGACAGAGGTGGCTGGCAGGCTGTGGAGATTGGCAAGGTAAGCTCTCTGTGACAAGGAGGGGGCCCTGCCTAGCACAGTGAGCTGTCTGAGTCTCAGCTTCAGGGCCGAGGGGGCCTTTAAACACTACACAGGAAAGCAAAGGCCCTAGCTTACTGCTGAGGTTTGTTTCTCCTGTGGGATTAATGACACTTCTGGTGAATAGTGAGGTTGCTTATCAAAGACTGCAGGAGGCCAGGGGCAAGTGAAATAAGGAATTGAATCTTTTTGCTGAAGAAAGCTTGGATTTGTCTCATCACGAAAGGCCAGCACAGCTTGGGTGGAGGCAGGAAGGCAGGGTGTTTCCTGGGCTTAGGTTGGCTGCCTGCCCCAGTGCTGCTTGGGCCCTCAGGTTGCTTTTCCTGCTGTTTAGGATGTACAAGTACACGTCAAGCCGTTTCAAGACCCGTGCAGAGCAGGAGGTGAAGAAAGCAGAGCACGTAGCGAGGATTGGTAATGCCACTCCCTGTGCAGGAGGAGGGTGGGGATGGGGTTCATCTGGGGGACATTGCTTGTGGCCAAAGGCGAGATCCAGGGAAAGGCTCTGTTCACCACCCAGGGACAAGGCTGTTCTCCTGAACCATGGTCCAGTTCCTTCCCCCACATGCCAGCCCCCTCAGTACTTTTTCTTTCTAAACTCTGCTTTCTCTTTCACCACTTATAGGGCCTAATCTAAAAGTGTCAACTCTGTGGCTTGCCCAGAATGAAGAATCCCCCCTCTGGCCCAAATACTTTTGAAATTGTTTTCCTGACTTCCGGACAAAAATCTCAAGGCCTCTCATAGTGTTCAGGGGTTCTAAGAGTTTCTTACTGCTTGTTTGCAAGTAGTGATTGGTTGGAGACTTCTTTAGCTTCTAGCTCATGCTGAGGATTTAACTCTGATTGCCGGAGGCATTTTTTGACCTATTCTGATTCATTTGCGAAGTTTGAAAAGCATGTCAGGTTTTCCTTGGGGCCTCTCTGATTGGTTTCAGTGCCAGATTTTCCTTCTCGAATGGACTCTGCAGTCCAGGCACAGAGGCTTCCCTGACATTTCTTGTCAGCCATGTCTCCCCCCGCTCTCCTGTTCTTCGATGGCACCTTGGGGATCTGGAGGGCCACTTGTGGCCTTGAGGCTGCAGGTTCCTCACCCCTGGCACACACTTCTTGTCCAGCAGGGACTGCACTGTGGATCCAGAAGGGATGACAGAGAGTTTTGAACCTTTGCATTCCTTATCATGGTTTCTTCTGGGTTTCAGCTGAAGAGAAGGCCCGGGAGGCGGAGAGCAAAGCTCGGACATTAGAAGTACGCCTAGGTGGAGACCTCACTCGGGACTCCAGGGTAAGGCCCTGGGCCCAGGCGGCTGTTCTCCAGCATTTCTGACATTAGGAGCCCATGTCATGTGAACCTGGTCAAGTGAAACACAACTTTTGAGTTTGTCCCCAGTAGGGGCCAATTTCTATATAAGTAAATTTCCAGGTGTGGTTTTACATCCATTTGAGTTAAAGTGAGAAGTTGTAGATGTGATGTTGTAATATTACCTGCTATGGCCCAGAGCACATCCTCCTCTCACCTGAGGCTGATGTATGTGTCCAGGTGATGTTGCGACAGGTCCAGAACACAGCCATCACCCTGCGCAGAGAAGCTGACGTCAAGAAGAGGATCAAGGAGGCCAAGCAGCGGTGAGCGCCAGGGCTGTCCTTCGGTCTTTTAAGATTGTGTAGCTTCTGTATTGATTATTGACAGTTTGCCATCCTGTCACCAAGACAGCTTTGAGAACGCCATTAAGGTGACCTCAAATGCTTGTCAAATGCCCTTTGCAGGAAAAAGGTCTTACCCTAAGCTCTCAGCTCTTACCTGAGTCAGGAAAAGGCAGGGCAGAGTGTCCACCTTGAATTGAACACCAAACCATCCTCACTGGCACTGTCTCACCTTTTTTTTCCTTTATATTTCTTTTTTCCCCTTTCTTTTAATTTAAAAAACGTATAAAATGCTCGTCGTATAAAACTTGAAAAATACGAACTGTTTAAGAAATAAAAATTTAAAACTCTGTTATATTTCTATTGCTTGGTGCTAACTACTCTTAATTTTTTATTCCATAATATGTTTTCATATTCATTTTCCCCTCACTGGTTACAGATACGGAATAATGCTGTAGTTTGAGTTTTGTATACATTTTTATTTAGAATGAGCATTTGTCCTGGATTATTATCTTGTCCCACCTATGTGAATCTGGAACCTTTCAGGGCTCTGGGGCTTGAATTACTGTTTTGCCTCTTGTCCTTGTCACGGGCGTGGGTTTCAGGTTTCTCCTGTCTAAGTTAGTCCACTGCTCATCCATCTGCTTTTCAGCTTTCAAGAGTTTGTTGACATTAATCACACGATGGTGTCTTCTCTCATGTCTTTATTGTTCTTGTGAATTTTTGCCTTTAAAAAAATATTTACTGTCATGTTAGTGGAGTTTTGGGGATGGTATGTAACCTTGTGTTTATTCCAGTATGTAACTGTCTTTGCAACAGCTTTACAGTGATTCATTCATACTTCATTGCATCCCTGTTTCGTTACTATAAAGTTAAAGTCATATGTTTTTATTTTTTTTATTTTTTGAGACAGAGTCTCACTGTGTTGCCCGGGCTAGAGTCCCGTGACGTCAGCCCAGCTCACAGCAACCTCAAACTCCTGGGCTCAAGCAATCTTTCTGCCTCAGCCTCCCGAGTAGCTGGGACCACAGGCATGTGCCACCATGCCCGGCCAATTTTTTTCTATATATTTTTAGTTGTCCGATCAATTTCTTTCTATTTTTAGTAGAGACGAGGTCTCGCTCTTGCTCAGGCTGGTTTCGAACTCCCGAGCTCAAACAATCCGCCCGCCTCGGCTTCCCAGAGTGCCAAGACTACAGACGTGAGCCACCGCGCCCGGCCTAAGTCATATGTTTTTAATTAGGGATGCTTAGAGTCAGTGTACAGTGAGTATCCCTATCAAGTCTAAGAGAGGCGATTGAATGGAGAGGCAAATCTTTTTGTTTAACGTGTCTCAAGTTTAAGCTTAACACATGTTGTACTCCCTGGTGTTTGTGTGCTAATGAGTAGATCTGCTTGATTTTTTTTTTTGGTCATTTAGAGCACTTAAAGAACCTAAGGAACTGAATTTCATTTTTGGGGTCAACATTGAACACCGGGACCTGGATGGCATGTTCATCTACAACTGTAGCCGCCTGATCAAGATGTATGAGAAAGTGGGCCCACAGCTGGAAGGGGGCATGTGAGTACTACCCAAGGAGAGGTTTTTAGCCCGTAGTGGGTAGCAGGAGGGTTTGGCCAGTGGGTGGACAGAGCTGTGTTCTCTTTCTCCCTACAGGGCGTGTGGTGGGGTTGTTGGGGTTGTTGATGTGCCCTACCTAGTCTTGGAGCCTACACACAACAAGCAGGACTTTGCTGATGCCAAGGAGTACCGACACCTGCTAAGAGCTATGGGGGAGCACCTGGCACAGTACTGGAAAGACATTGCCATTGGTAATGGAGCTGGGCTGCTAGGCCTCTGCCCTTTCTCTTCACCTGAACTTAGGAAGAGAGAGGGAGAGAGACTAGCTTCTGACGTGATGTGTGGGTGCTTGCCTTCTAGCTCAGCGGGGAATCATCAAGTTCTGGGATGAGTTTGGCTACCTCTCTGCCAACTGGAACCAGCCCCCATCCAGTGAGCTGCGTTACAAACGCCGGAGAGCTATGGAAATCCCGACCACCATACAGTGTGGTGAGTCGATAGTTCGAACCCTCCTCCTGTCTCCTGTCAGTCTATGAACCTCTGTCTCTGTGCCGGCCTCCTGACATATCGTGGACTTATGGTCCCACTAGGGATCCGAGTCTGTTTGGTGGTGGCTCTGTGAGCTCAATCTTGAGGTTGTTCCAAGTTTGACCTTTCCCTTCTGAATGAGGCAGAAGGTCATCTAACCTCCCAGGCCTCTCACGCTGCAGCTTGGACCAGGCTCACTCAGTTTGGTGTACTGTATTATTTCTGGTGCAAGTGGATAACTGAGCCAGGATCCTGTTAGAGGAAGGAGAGGGACTAGGGGCATTAAGAGTCCATGATATTAAGTTTTCATCTTTGCTAGAATCAGTGTCCCTGAGAAGAATTACTGTTTCATGAGGAGAGGCATAATTGGAGCCAGAGTGAAGATCTTTGCATATAGAGTCTAGGGCATCTTTGCCACGGGCCTGTAAAGAACCTGGATTACAGACATTGTTGGTGGAGGTGGCTGACATTTCATGGGGATTTTTGGGTTTTCTGCAGATTTGTGTCTGAAGTGGAGGACCCTCCCCTTCCAGCTGAGTTCTGTGGAAAAAGATTACCCTGACACTTGGGTTTGCTCCATGAACCCTGATCCTGAGCAGGACCGGTGAGCACGTTCTCTAATAAGGGGATTGTGTATACTTCTCCCCCCCCGTCCCCCACTATCCTCTCCACTCTTGGAGTACATAACACTGTGCTTCTTGAGGTCAGTGCTCATGTTCTTACATCTCTGCCTTATACATAGTAAGTGCCCAAGAAATAAGAATAGATGTTCATACAATAGGTGTCTGCATTTCATATTAATTCCATGCATTGGGAACTCTGAGGTGGTTGCTTGTATGACAGATGGATGGGTTGGCTGAGGAGGAAGGTCCCTGCCCTGCTTGGAACCCTGTTTCGCCACAGGCTCCCTAGCACCTTCTCTTTACAGGTGTGAGGCTTCTGAACAGAAGCAGAAGGTTCCCCTGGGGACATTCAAAAAAGACTTGAAGACACAGGAAGAGAAGCAGAAACAGCTGACAGAGAAAATTCGCCAGCAGCAGGAGAAGCTAGAGGCCCTTCAGGTACGTGGGTCATGGGCAGTGGCAAAGCCAGCTTGTGTTAGGGCTCTGCCCCAAGACTGAACCTTTAGTGGCTTCCCTGTTCCCTCAGGCTCAATTTCAACTCCACTCATCCACGCGTGCTTGCCAAAGCTTTCCAGTCCCATCCTCCAGGTCCAGTCTTGCAACTACAGTTGCTTATTTTTTCAAAAAAGAAAACAGTTTTGTTTATATACTTCGAAGTGGTCTAATTCATTTAGAATGTATAAAAACTCTATAAAATAAAAATCCTACCTTAGAGGTAACCCTCATTAATCACGTGTCTTTCTAACTTGTCATTAATAGCTACACATAATATACATAAATACATGTATATTTTTAATAGAAGTATGGTGATCATGCTATATATGTATTTTATATACATACCCTTTTTAAGTGCATAATTACTTTCTTGATAATTTTCTAGATGTGAAATTGAAAGAGTAAAAAGGTTTGCAGAATTCTGTGACTTTTTACAACTATTTCCGAACTACCTTCCAGAAGATGTATTAATTTCTGTTCTTTACCAGCAGTATATGAGAGTATTATTTTTCAGTGTTTTTGCAAATTTGATAGGCAAAGATATGTATCTTTTAATTTCTTTCATATCTTTAAGATTGGACAATTTTTCATATGTACCCTTATGTTTCTTTTAGACTTGCTTTTAATTTCTACTGTTTTAATTAATTTTTTTTTTCCTAGATAATGCTCGTGTTATCAACCCTTTATCATGTTTATTGCAAAAGTACTTCCCTTTCTGGCTTCTGTATCTGTGCAGATGTGCTTTCGCTAACCTGTGATGTCTTATACATGACTCCCTGCCTGGTCTGCTGAAACCCATCTGTCTTTTCTGGCCTCCTCCAAGTTTCCCCCATCGATCAGGCCTTTTTTGGTTCCTTTTATAGGAATTTATCAGTCCATTGACACTTTTTCCCAGTCTCCCAGTTGCCGGATTAATCACATAGTAGCTTGTGATTTTCTGATAGTTTAGTGTTTATGTATCTTTGTGAGAGACTTCTAAGAATAGGACTGTGGGAGACTAATGAGAGACTTCTAAGAGTAGGACTGTGGCCCAGGTTTTCTATTTTATTTGCTTACTGTCCCAGAGACATAAGTGGGGATCCAAAAAGTTTGCTTGAATGTACCAAGATATGCAAATAACTTTATCGTGTTTGCCCTGCAGAAAACCACACCCATCCGTTCCCAAGCTGACCTGAAGAAATTACCCTTGGAAGTGACCACCAGACCTTCCACTGAGGTGAAGCCCAGGGGCATGGGAGGGGCTTTTCTCCAGGTATCTCGTGCTAAGATCAATGTTCTCACTCTCTGTGGGCCTTTTTTAGGAACCTGCACGTAGACCTCAGCGTCCTCGATCACCCCCTTTACCTGCTGTGATCAGGAACGCCCCAAGCAGACCCCCTTCCCTGCAAGCTCCCAGACCACCCAGCCAGCCCCGAAAGGCTCCTGTCATTAGCAGCATCCCAAAGCCCCCTGCTTTGGCAGCCCGGGAGGAGGCCAGTACATCAAGACTGCTCCAGCCACCTGAGGCACCCCGAAAGCCTGTGAACACACTGGTCAAGACTGCTCCCCGGCCCACCCCTCTGATGCAGCCACTGTCACCATCTCTACTGCCCAACTGCAAGAGCACCCGAGAGGTCCCTGCCCCCAAAGTCATCAAGACTCCAGTAGTCAAGAAGCCGGAGCCACCCACTAAACTCGCCCTGGTGAGATACTTTTCCTTCTCCAGCCGCCAGCCATCATCAGTGGTAGAGGAATGGAATCATGCAATGTTGGCACTGTACTGGGGGAACCTTGGGAAGATCACTAAATCTAAAGCTTTTTTGCTGCCCTGAGGAGGGGGAGCCTAGATAGCTGAAGGGACTTGGTCAGGGGCACAGAGCAAGTTGGTTCCCTGTCCAAACAGCTCTTCACTGCTCCCTCTGAGTTTTGGTCTGCACAAACTTGAGTCAGCTCTACTAGCTTCTCACAATGTGGGCATAGGTCAGTAACCTGGTGACAGACACAGCCTTGATGGACTGTGGCAGTGGTCGGTTTGTCTCAGGGCGGTCACAGCTGGCTGGCCAGGCTTGCTAATATGGGGAGAGTCTTCCCCCATGACAGTTTTAAGCAAAGGTCCTTGCGGTGCAGGGGCCAATTGGTTGCTTGTGTACATACCTGGTGATACCAGGTGAGGAATGAGGAGAGTACAAGCCCCGCTCTGAACAGCTCCTTTAGACCAGGTGATATCTTCCTGCTCCTTGAGGGCTGAGCAGGGCCCCTCCCATTCCCACTTTCCTCTTGCTCTAGGCTACCCCTGGTCGAAAGCGGAGTCTTGGGGTCTCTGATGAGGAAGAAGTAGAGGAAGAGGCTGAGAGGAGGAAGGAGAGGTGCAAGAGGGGCAAATTTGCTGTGAAGGAGGAAAAGAAGGACTTCAATGAGGTAGGTGATTGAGGTGAGGTTCCCAGAGCCTCCCTCCAAAGGCCTGCGCCCCCAACCAGTGGTCCACACCAGCTCCATTTGTGTTCATGACGTGAGCCTTCCAGAAGCCTGGTTTATCTCTCAAGGACTCTCAGTCATACAGATGACTAGAAACATGGTGCCAGGTAGGATCTTGAGTGAGACTAGTTTCTGGCTCTAATCACAGGCCTGAAGTCAACATTGGTGTATGTCAGGGAACTTGAAACACTTTGCTTCCCTGTGTCTGTCCCCTACCTGCTATCTTGTTTATAAAGGTGGCAGAAAGGTAGGTACCTTAGACAGTGATTTTAGAGTGTGGCTCTTAGCGAGGCATGGTGATTTAAACTGTGTCGTAGGAAGATGTGAAGATGACGGCTGATGACCCTGAGTGGCCAGTAGCATAGAAGTCTGCTGCTTCAAGGGGGGACTGGGGCTGCCTCTGATGGACTATTCTCCTTGCAGCTCTCAGACAGTGCTGGGGAAGAGGATTCCGCTGAGCTCAAGAGGGCTCAGAAAGGTGAGTCTGGGAGAGGTACCTGGCAGCCTGTGGTGCAAGCGTGAGGCAAATGTGATAACCACTGCATTACGGAGACTCTTCTGTAGGGGAACTGGAGCCCCTCGCCAGCAGCAGTTTAATCCCCAAGGCTTGTGGAGTTGGCTGGGTCTGGGGCCTTGCAGCAGTCTAATTCCAAGCAGAATTCTGAAGATAGCACCCCATTGTGGTTATTTTGAACACTAATTCCATGGTGTTCACCCTGGCAGGCACTCAACTTCCTGCTCTTTGGCACCCTAGTGACAGGTGGGGCAGGAGATAGCAAGATGGCTGTGCCCCATGTCCCTGGTGTGATGGGGGCAACCACCTAGGGGTTCTTGTCCTCCAAACCCTGGGGACTACCTTTCTTAAGGCAGCCCTGGCTGAGTAATGGACTCTTGTCTAGTTTTCTCACATCTCTGTCCAAATTCTCAGATAAAGGGCTGCACGTGGAGGTGCGTGTGAACAGGGAGTGGTACACGGGCCGTGTCACAGCTGTGGAGGTGGGCAAGAATGTGGTACGGTGGAAGGTGAAATTTGACTATGTGCCCACAGACACGACACCAAGAGATCGCTGGTAATGTTCCCATTGAAGGGGAGCAGTAGTTTTGGGGAGGAGGTTTTCCCAGCCCCCCTGCCAGCAACCCATCCTGGGAGCCTGGAATAGATGCGACACGATCTGTGTGTCCTCCATAGGGTGGAGAAAGGCAGTGAGGATGTGCGGCTGATGAAGCCCCCTTCTCCGGAGTATCAGAGCCCTGACACACAGCAGGAGGGCGGGGAGGAGGAAGAGACTGGGGTGGCTAAGCAGGCTGTAGCCATGGTGGAGCCTTCCACTTCTGACTGCATCCGCATTGAACCTGACACTACCGCCCCAGGCACCAACCACGAGACCATTGACCTGCTCGTCCAGATCCTTCGGTATGTCTTTTGTCTTCCAGCCTCAGGGGTGGGCAGCAGTGGCTCTCCACCCTCTCCATGCTTTTCTCATTTCCTGTCCCCACTTCTTTCTTGTGTAGGAATTGTTTACGGTACTTCCTGCCTCCAAGTTTCCCCATCTCCAAGAAGGAGCTGAGTGCTATGAACTCAGATGAGCTAATATCATTTCCTCTGGTGAGTCTGGCCTAACCTTTGATTTCATACTCTTCATCTCCCACAGCCCCCATGCTTATGATTGTTATGCTTGTTGCAATTGCCAGCCCTAAGCCTCATGCCCTACCTCAGCCAGCTTCTCTTTTCTTCTGCCGAAAGAAGGAAAGAGGAGACTTTATGTTGTGGAGAAAAAGTGGCTTAGTTGGATATGACTGTGGTGTGTAGAAAGCCAACCCCACCCTACTATAGGTGCTAGGAGATGAGTCCTCCCTTAAGAGGCCTGGATTGACATTTTATGACAAGTATATCCCTTTTCCTCTCTGCCAGCAGAAGGAATAAACACCTGTCCCAGGCAGTAGTCAAGAGCTTAAGCTCAAAGTGCCTAAACCTTGACTCTGGGAGGGAGGTATAGAGAAACTGGAGATGAGTGGAGATAGAGCACTGGGTCTTGTTTAACCCACCACGTGTTGATGTGGCACCTCCCCTAAGCAGGTCCTCTAAGGGACCTCATAGTGAGCAGCAAAAGAGAGCCCTGCCTCCAAGTGGCTCGAGATTCAATTGCGACTGAGTAGCTGGTAGACCAGGTAGCTGGACACAAGGCCAGGAGCAGTAAGTACTATGGAAGGGGACAGGAGGGCTTTGGAAGCCTGGGGAAGACGGAGAACGCAATGCAGTCTGGAGAAAACATGCATTTTGGCAAGTACCTGCCTGTGTAAGTGAAAGGGAGTGTTTTGAGGCAGGGACTTTTGTGAGCAAAGACTCTGGGACTGGGCAGGGGTCAGGGCCACAGGCTGCGTGGTGAGCATTTAGGGTTAGAAGGGCATGAGAGCCAGGATCTGATGTGTCTTAAATGCTCATCTAAGTCATACTCGCTTAAACCCTATAGGATAGGGAGCGCCTGAGAAAGTTTTGAGCTGAAAATGTTGTCAGTCTGAACCATGTCTAGGGCAGGGGTCCACACACTTTTTCTGTAGAGGATCAACTGGCAAATAATCTCAGGTTTGTGAGCTATGTGGTCTATGGCAACTATTCAACTCTGCCATTATAGCATGAAAGCAGCCACAGGCAATATGTAAAGGAGAAAAAAAAAAAAAAAAAGCTTTATGCTTTATTTCCAAAAACAGGCAGCCAGGAGGCTTTGGCCCAGGGCCCTAAGAGGGTAATTTTGGCAGCAGCATGTTTGGGTAGGATGGGTGGATGGGAGACGCAGGGGTAAGGAGGCTGGTCCTGTTGTAAGGAGGTCAGGGATGAGGGAACAGGACCAGGAGCCAGAGTGGTGGGAGCGGCTTAGTGGGGTAAAAGGACTGTGTTAGGTCATTGACAGACTTACTGGTCATTGACTATGGGCAAGTGACAGGGAGGAGGCAGAAACCACATACTTTCCTGTGTCTCAGGCTTGTGGGAATTGGTTGATGACAAAGCTATTAACTGGGAGAGAAAACAGAGGTTGAGTACAAGGAAGGTGATGAGGAGCACTTTGTATGGCGCTGGAAGTACTAGCACTTTGTTTCTGGTGTTGTGCTGTGGGCAGGTGGAGATTGGGGACTAGCACTGGGAGGGAGGGGGAGGCCAAGGCTGGAGGAGATGGGGATCTGGGAATCATCTACATGAAGGGGGATTTTTTTTTTTTTTTTTTTTTTGAGACAAAGTCTCACTCTGTTGCCCTGGCTAGAGTGAGTGCCATGGTGTCAGCCTCGCTCACAGCAACCTCAAACTCCTGGGCTCAAGCGACCTCCTGCCTCAGCCTCCTGAGTAGCTGGGACTACAGGCATGTGCCACCGTGCTTGGCTAATTTTTTCTATATATTTTTAGTTGTCCAGATAATTTCTTTCTATTTTTAGTAGAGACGGGGTCTCGCTCCTGCTCAGGCTGGTCTCGAACTCCTGAGCTCAAACGATCCACCTGCTTCGGCGTCCCAGAGTGCTAGGATTACAGGTGCGAGCCACCGCTCCCAGCCGGGATGTTTTTTATGTGGTAGGAAGAGCTGCGTTTTCTAGAGAAGTTTCAAGAGGAGGTGCGTGGCGACTTTAGGATTAGTTTGTTCAAGATGTTAGGCCCTCACGTGGCAGCTATGTACTTGATAAAGTTTGCCAGAGAGAAAAACATGAGGTTTTATCTCTATTCTACTTTTTAAAAACTGAAATGAGGCTGGAAGTTAAAGAAACTAAGGCTCAGAGAGGTAAAGAGTCTGTTGTTCAGTAACAGAGCCCAGATTTGAACCCAAGTTCTTCTTAGGAAAAGAATCTTGCTCTTCTCACGACGCTACCTTGCTCTGCCCTTCTGAGATGAGAGGGGTGGTGCTTGGTGAGGAAGCTAGAAGGTGGTAGAAGTGACCACGGCTTTTTTCACAGAAAGCTCTACCGTTCAACTTTTGCCCTTGTTTAGGCTGCTGTCACTCTCTGCAAATCCCAGGAGGAACAAACAGCTGATAGGATGGCGAGGTCTGCCTGGTATCTTCTTGTCAGTCAGATTCGTTGCTTTTGGCTTAAAGTTGTTGCCAAACTCAGAGCAGAGCCTGGGTACAACAGGATCTCTGAGTGGGATTGACTGCTTGGCCCAAAACAGCATGAGCCTCTGAGTCTAAAAAATAGTATATTAGCTTATTTTTTTAAAGGAGGTATAATACCATTTTATCAACTTTGTTCTCCTAATTGTAATGTTTAAAATCACTCAAACTGTTATTTTTTTAGTAGCAGGCAACTATTTTTTTTTGCAGAACTGGAAATTTCTCATGCTATCTTGGTTTAATAGGATAATGTTCTAGATCATAAGGTGATAGACTGCAGTGGCCAGCCAGTGCTGCTTGTGGCTTTGTATTCTTCATAATGGCCTCATCATTCTCATTGGTGATTTGTAAGCCCTGTTACAAATTTGAACTCAGAAAGTAAATTTAACCTAAAGAGATATTACGTAAATTGTTTTTTACACGGAGATTTCATGTCGCATTTCATTTGAAACAAGTATTCTACATTTTAAAAGTTTGAAAAGCCATCTGTCTACAGAAACTGCTAATTAATGCTACCCCACCCCTTGGAAGCTTCAGGTACTCAGGGAAAACAGTAAAAATCTGGTGCTGCAGAAATATATACTAAAAATCTGGAGGTATCTCCTATTGGTAGGTGTTAGATAAATATTTATGGAAGAGAACTGACTTTAGTCATAATATTGTTGGGTGTGACTTGGAAATGGAATACTGGAAGGGCCATTCTGAAGGTTGAAAGGTATGATTGAGTTGGGAGAATGATTCTCTCGTTCTTTTTTTTGGTAAGAATCACCCCTCCCCACGGCTTGCTTTCTGCCAGAGCACCTTGCTCAGTGCTTTACCTGTGTGATCTCATCGTCTTCCTTCCACAAGATGGGCATTAAGGTCTGTCTACTCTAGACCTAGAGAGACTGCTTGCCCCTTGTATCTGAGGTGTTCCTTCAAACCAAGCATCCTTGTGTGGACCTGATAGGGGATACCATACCTGTCTAGAAGGTCCCTGGGGACCCATGCGAACTACTGCAGTTGCCTTCTGGCTTCTTTCTTGACAGAAAGAGTACTTTAAGCAGTACGAAGTGGGGCTCCAGAACCTGTGCCATTCCTACCAAAGCCGCGCTGACTCACGGGCCAAAGCTTCTGAGGAAAGCCTGCGCACCTCTGAGAGAAAGCTCCGTGAGACAGAGGAGAAGCTGCAGAAGCTGAGGACCAACATCGTGGCACTCCTGCAAAAGGTGCAGGAGGTGAGATAGGCAGCCCTCTCATTGCAGCTGGACCACCTGGTCTCTCAGGGAAGGAGCCTGGGCACCTCCTTTTCCCTTCTCACAGGCATCTATCTACTCACAGGAATCTGTGGTTCCAACCCTGGCTGCACAGTGTCCTGACCAGGAGGGCTTGAGGTGGTGTGGCTGCCTGGGCCTCATCCCAGCCAGACCCACAGAACCAGACTTTCTCCCTTGTTAGACATTCTGATGTACAACGTGGTTTGAGAACCTTCCATGCCATAAAAACAAAGAAGTTACTGCTTTTTCAGATGATGCCCAGATGGGATCGGGAAACCCAGAAGTGGGGAGTGCCCTTAAAGTGTCGGTCCTTCATCCAGGCAGCAAGCACCAAGGGTCTGCTCTGTTCCTGTCCTGTGGATATGGATGGGGTGAACCAGACAGGCCAGAGGAGGTTCTTGGTCTTACAGCCTGATAGTCTGGTGAAGGAGACTGATGGTGGGAAGTGCTATGAAGTAAATAACAAGAGTTATAGTAAACGGTGGGAGGCCCCTTAACTAGGGTGTTCAGGGGTAGTCTCTGAGGAGGTTAGGTATTTGAGCTGGGACTGGAAGCTGATCATACAAAGTGTGGGAAATGAGTGCTTCAGTCAGGGAAGAAGAACAGGACACGAGACCTGATCGGGGACTTACGGACGGTAGGAGCAGAGGCAGGGTCTGTATGAGGTGGGATTTGGTCGTGAGAGCAGGGAGATGTCACTAGAGGGGAGGGGTTAGAACCAGGCCTCCTATACGGAGGCTTCCACAGTTGCCTGGGTGAGGTGGTGGCCTGGACCTTGGGTGGTGACAATGAGAAGGGGAGAAGGGGACACATTTGTAGTATCTGAGGAAACACACTTCTAAGGGAAACAGTCCTAACGTGGGGTGGAGGTAGGGCAGGAGTAAGAAATCTGGGCGTCTTCTGTGCACAGTAGATGGGAGGGGAGAGTGATCAAGCGTGACAGAGGCTGACAGGGCGGAGAGGGAGGCGGAGGGGGACTCTGACCTTAGCCCCAGGACCCGGGAGAAGGGTGGAGGGGCGAGCCTCCCACCACTTCTGGCCCCTGGCTGACCCCTGCCCTGCTTTGTTCCAGGACATAGACATCAACACAGATGACGAGCTGGATGCCTACATCGAGGATCTCATCACCAAGGGGGACTGAGGGTGGGAGCTGGAGATCAGCTCCCTTGCCCACCTGCCCCTCAACTCAGCAGCTTCAGAGGGTGGGGGATTCATTCATGGGTTGGTGGACTTACCTTGATTTGACTGACATGGGACAATTGTGCTTTTGGAGGGAAAGATACTCTGATTCTTTGAATCTTCCTCCCTAAGTTTATAAATATTTATTTTTTAAAAGAAAAAATATGCTGTGCCTGTGAGACCATAATTTCTTTTGGTGACTCTTGGGCAAAGGACAGAGAATCTTTCCACTTTCACCACACCGGGTTGCCAAGCTGGAGCCACTTCAGCTCCTGGCTCCTCAAGAAGGTGGTGAGTCCACTGCCACATTGAAGTTGGAGAGGCTCCAGGGGCAGGGATGGTTTCTCTCCTAGAGGATGAACAAAATGGAGCTCTGAGCAATGGGAGAAGGGAGAGAGTCCCCAGAGTGGTGGCCCCCCTGGGGGCTAACATCCATGGGACCCACCCAAGGGGCTGTGTGTCGGAGGAGGTTCCACATTAGAGGGGGCCCTTCTCACAGCTGTCCATCTCAGGTGAGGGATATGAGTGTCTGCAGAGTCATCCTGGCTGTGGCATTGTCCAAACAGCTTGGGGGAGAAAGATCCTTCCAGTCCATCTGAGTGATTTCCTTTGTTAACCATGAACAGTGAGATTTCCCGTCTCAATTTGAGTCCAGGTTGAGGTGTAGATAGATCTGACTTCGGTCAGATCTCTCACCTGGGTAGCACACCAAATGTTGGAATTTGGTGAGATTCCTTAGGGAAGGAGCTTGTGTGTGAAAGTGCTCCTGGTGCTGAGCTGGCAGAGGCCTGCATCTGGTGCGGCAGCTTCAGATGGTGCCAGTTGATCTGGAGAGCCTGCTGCTGATTTTTCTACTTCTTCCTCTCTGCCTGGCCCTACTGAGCCCAAAGTCTCTGCTCTGGGACAGACATCCCTGCACTGGCTGCAGGAACTCCAGAGGCAGCTATGCAGGAAGCACATCATGCCTTTCCTCCCTGTCCCATCACAGCCCTGGAATCTTTGTCCCTCAAGCAATTTCTCAGGGTCGAAGACAAAGGCAAAGATTGTTAAGTTTTCTCTTTAATGGCCATTGGAAGAATTCTGGTTCAATTTTCCCCAACTCTTCTCCTATTTGAGGCCTATGGGGATTTTCTGAAGGCATAAGAACTATGAAGATATACCATTGATCTATGATCCAAATCTCTTTGGGTGGTGTGTTTCTGGCATCTGCCTGACCCAGGTCAGCAGAGGCCACCCTGCTGCTCTGTGAGGTCTGCAGACAACCAGGAGCAGTGGTGAGGGATGCAGGCCATACTGGAATTGGAAGTCTTTCCCCTCTTGTACAGTTGGCCAAATATGCCTGTGACTGGTGGGTTTTGGGCTTCCCCAAACCACTGGGGAATACTGCTGAAAGAGACCATGGCCTCTTCCTGTGGAAGATTCGCCAAGAGTCTTGGGGTTTCTTGAGCTGGTGATTCCCCTCCCATCCAGCTCTCCCTGTTCATCCCAGGAAGCATGTGATCCATTTTCATCCCCAAACCTGTTTTAAAAGCAAGTTGGTTCTGCATTTTTACCAGAGGGTAACACTCAAGTTTTTTATTTACACACATGTAATCAAAATGCAATACTATAAACTACTGGTGAGACTCCTGAACTCAGTTTGTTTTCTTCTCAGTAAAATCCAGCACCTTCCTCCTCTTCATACTTTCTACTACTGTGGCTTTAAACTATCTTCGAGGTCTTCTTCATCTGCACCATCCTCGTTTTATCTTCACCCTCTTTAACACCCACAAAACAGACTGAATTTCTTAAAATGTTTTAGCTTCAACTTCTGGATGTGCCCACTTTGCTGGGTTAATCCAACCATAGCTGTGCTCTGTTTTCCAGGCAGAGATCCTGCCATTCTGGGTGGGAAAATAAAATGCGGCAACCTACCACCCGCCCTCAACCCCCCACCCCCTGAGACAGCTGATCAGCTTGGAACCACTTGACAACTTGGGAGGAGGGAGATGGTCTGTCTGGGAAGGTCGTTTGTACAAGGCTGCAAGAAAGTGAGGCCAGCAGCCGTGGTTTTTAAAGAGTGAGAGGGATGGGGACTTTCTTTTAGGGTGTGTTTTGTTATTTTTTAAGTGACACAGGCACGTGGTAAACATTCAAACAGTATAAAAGGCTGGGCTATGAAAAGCAAGGCTCCCTCCCACCCAATCCCTGAATTCTCCCTGGAGACAGTGTATCTGTCTTTGAGTGCCTGCACGTATCTGCTGTGTTCCGTTTCTGTCCCCTTAGTGTAGTTTGGAACTTGTTTCAGACTAGCCCGTGTGGGTCTATTTTATTCTTCTTAACAACCAGAGCATTTCGTCTTAACAGTCTCCTACTTACAAACATTTGGGTTGATTTCTAATGTTTATGAAAAATGCTGTGATGTGTGTGTATTTACTCATTAACTTGGATCTGTTTTTGTACTGTAGGAAAAATTCCAAAAAGGGAGATGGCTGTGTCAGACAGTGGGTATATTAAAAATTCTAAGGTACATTCCCAAACTGCCTTCCAGAAAAGATTTCCAATTTGAACTCCTACCAGCAGTGCCCCCACCCCAGTATGTAGTCCTTATATTTTAACTGTTTACTACTCTGAAAGGTGAAAAGTGATGGATTTTGAGTCTGTTTGAATTATTCAAGTGAGACTGAGCATCTTCCTTAGCCAGCAGTGTTTCTCTTGGGTACAGGGTAATAGTTCTGAATCTTTGGTTAGGGAACTTTTTGTAAGTCAGATGAAAAGTAGCAAAGCCCTCAGGAAAATGTCCACCTTACAGGACTCCTCAGCCCCTAAGAGTCCTGGGGATTTAGGATTAAAAACCCCACTTAGGATAAATGCTGCCTAGGTCAGGACCAGGGTTATGGCATTTTCATTTACTAAAGGCAGGCTGGGGTTAGTAAAAGGCTGAGAAATGCTTCTCTAATTCCTTCTATATATCTGAGTGACAGTGCTTTTGCCTTAGAGGCTCCTCTGTTGTTGGGTCTAGTTCCTTGAAGTTATGTGACTTGCACACTCATAGTTCAAGCAGTGTTGCGCAAGAGTTTGCAGCTATGAGGACCAAATAAGTCTTAAACATGATAAAGCTCCAAATTTGCCATTTGCATAGAACTCAAGGCTTGGCCTGAGTGAGCTGTGTGCTTCCACTGGCTACTTGTCTCCGTTGGAAGGTCGTTCTGCAGCTAAGTCAGGTTGTAAGGGACCCACTGACAGTTGCCAGGGTGCCTTAAGCCTCCTCAGAATTCCACTGGAGGGTTCTGGCCTTTGTTGGAGATGGAACTCTGAGGCTCCTTTGGAAACAGCCACATTGCTTTTGATTCTCAGAGCAGGTGAACAGCCAGCTTGGCCATGGGAGGCAGAGGTCCAAAAATATACACTTATCTTCTCTGCTGCTAGTTTGAGGCCTCAGACTGTCAGTTCTTGGCACTGCTGGGGGCACCTTCTCCATAGTGAGCAAGACAGACTGTGCAGAGGAAGGGCCTGACAAGGCACCTCCCACTCAGCAAATGAGCCAAAATGTTGGCAGGCCTGTTTTTTGACTCTGGTCATTTTCACCCAGTAACTTACAATGTGTCAGGCCCAACGGGGCTGCTAGTGGGTCCAGCAGAAATTTCCTTTCCCCTTCCCTTCTCACAAGGCCTCAGATAAGTCACTGCTCACTCTGGCTCCCCATTCCTCTTCTGAAATAAAGGATTTGGATGATGGTAGAGGTTTTCCAGCTTATTTAGTTACAGGACCAGTTAATTTATCCAAAATTTATCCAGCAGCCCAGATAGAAAGCCAGTAATACTGGAGCTGCTCTAGTTGAAGTTGGGATGGGGCCCCGCAGCCCCTTGCTGTCCTGATCCCTAGTCTTTGCTCCCAAGATTCTCTGGTCCCCACTTGGTACCTGTAGGCCTTCAGCTGCTTATTCAGTGGTCCATGTGGGGGTGATGCACTTACCCCATGGCCATCTGTTTGGCCAGTTTCACTTTCAGTGCTCCCCAAGGGTGAGGGAGGGCTGGGTCTCCATCAGGCCTGCGCCACAGGTGCCGCTGGTACTTCCTGGGGCTCTGGCCCCCTGGCAGCTGTTAGCCAAGACCTGGTGGGGGGGTGGGCTCACACACTGGGGCAACTTGGACCAGTGAGAGGGAGAGGATCCCATAGACAGACACATCCCTCCTTCCTTGTCTCCTCCGGACTCTGCTGAGATGCTTTCAGGGAGTCTCGAGCCCCTTCCTGCCCCAGTAACGCAAGTTTCTTCAGAAGCTGTGGTCAGCTCCGCTCCACTGCTTTGATTTACTGTCTCTCATCCCCATCATCCGCCCCTCAAAGCTCTGAGCTCTCGCTCCCCTCCCCACCACGTGAACCATCTGTCACCGGGCGGCGTTCGGGGCTCTGTGGTAGGCAGGGGAGGAGAACCGCCGTTTGTCAGAAGGTTGAGTTTTTGCGTTCCTTACGCTTAGTCATCAGCTACCACAGTAGACATGTGCTGAGGGCTGGTTGTAAATTCTCACCTTGCCCCAAAGGACACGGCCGGGATGCTGGCACTCGGCCACTGCTTTTTTTTTGAAGTATTTTAGGCATTTTTATTTAATAAATAACTTCAGTAAATAGCATTGTAAAAAGTGAACTGTTAAAAGGCACTTAAAACAAGAATGTGACTTGTATGAAACAAGATGGGGAACTCGAATAGTGAAAAGTAAACATACAGTGGTTTGTTAGGCACTAACTGAAAGTAAGACTTGTGTAAGTGACAGCTGTTACATAGGCCATAGTACAACTTCACACGGTCATTAAAAAGGCAAATTTACAGCTAAAACTTCAAAGAAAAAGTCCTGATAAAAATGTCTTACCCCAAAATTGCAAACAAATACATTGAACAATTAGGAGAGGTGATAAAAAGCACCAGGTATTAAACAAAATAAAAATAATAAAATAAATTCAACTTAAAAGGTCCCCATTTAGCAAACACTTTGTAAATTATGGCCTTTACATAAATAGTGCTAAAATCAAGGATTCTTTAGCAGAAAATTTCCCAGCACTTTCATCTAAGGCTTGTATTTATAAAGAGAAGGCATAAAAGTTACCAAAGATTAAGTAACTCTTAAAATGGCACACAGGTTTTAAAGCTATTTGTTTTTCCTTCCTAACTGTAACTTTTCCCCATGGCCTTTATAGAGCAACTGTTTTAAAACTATTTTACACCAGTAACTCCCAACATCCTTGTCTTTCATATCATCAGTCAGTCACGTCTAATAGGCAAATAGCAAAATAACAGATTTAAAACAATCCTAAACTAGCTAGCAGGACATTTACTTTGGATTCTGAATAACTGAAAACTGACATATTTGTAAAGCTAAAAATCAGTTTCAATGCATGATTAATAGAAACCCTCCTTGTGTTCAGTACTTTAACTACCGCCCTTTCACCCGCTTGTAGAAGTGGCACTTAATCCAATAAGAGCTTGATTTCAATAGTCCAGGAAGAAAAGGTCAAAAAGGCACAATATAACCTTAGCTGACGAGGATAACCATCCTTTCTCAAGTCTGTTGTCAGTCCGTGGCATGGATTATAACATTATTTTCAAAATAATAAAAAAATTTCTTTCATTATACATATTGTACATTTTCAAAACCTGCACATGAGTAAAACCATGGCAATATTGCCCTAAAGCTATTTTACTGTGACTATGGAAATTGCTACTTTTGCATTCGGTGCTGTGAAGTTTGCACAGGTAGTACTTATTTCCCCTCACACTTCGGATTGACCACAGTTGTCACGGCACTCTTATAAATAGGATTTTCACCCGTGTCCCATTTGGCATTCATTTTCTCCTTTTCAAATTTAGCAAATTCCCTTCTGTCATGAATTATCATTAAAAGCTTCCCTATTAGCAGTAATGCAAGGCCAATAAGAACAATTCCTGCAACCACGCCAGCTACAACTGGGATGATGTCTGGACCAGTGGGACACTCTGGAGTCTCCACGACCTGAACAGTGATTTCTCCGTTCCCACTCACTGAGTATGTGAAATAGAACCAGCAGTCGTCAACATCCTTCTCCTTACGATGGGACAGGGGGTCTACCTGGCCTAGCGGGGGCAATTTGTCCCGATTTTCTACCTTGGTAATGTTGAAATATGAGCATTCCTGTGCACATGTGTCTTATCTTTTCTCCTTTATTGAAGGCTCTGCACTGAACACATTCTTTATGCTCAGCCCAGACCCCGAGGCAAGTCTGACACATCTCGCAAGTCTGCCCTTGAAACTTGGGGTCTGTACACTTGCAGACGCCACACTCGCAGATTCGGCCACCTCTTAAGAGGCTTTGGGGGTGGCCAACGGCCGGCCAACGGTCGTAACCTGCGGAGAGCGCCCCCTGGCCCCACTAGACACCTCGAGGAGGGCGTGCAACGGCGCCTGCGCAGTGTTGCTGTGCGTGGCACGTGTTGCGGCGCCCGGCGCACGCGCTGTGGAAGAATCGCAAGCCTGCTACGGGGCCGGTGGCTAGCGGGGTCTCCTCATATAGGGGTATCTCAGGGGCGAGCAAGGGCCCACCCACACCCCGGCAGACGGAAAACATTTTTCGTACAAATATCCTTGTAGTTGAGTGCTTTTATTAGTGCAAGGTAGAGAACTTGGAAAGGAAGCTGCGTGCTTTTCATTTTGCCTTAAAGGTCCTGCAGGTGTGGCCTCTCACGGGAGCCGAGGCCAAGCTTCTGAGGCCTCTTGGGTGTTACAAGTTTGGTCCATTTTCTACACGTTTGTCCTCGGCTTGGTTGCTGGTGTTTGTTCAAAGGTAAATATTTTAAGGTTTTCGGGTTTCCTGTCATGCTTGAGAAAATCCATACTCTTCTCTTACCCCTGACCCCCATAAACGTTGTTACATTTTGTGGCAATGTTTTTTATTTTGTGTTTCAACCTTCAGTCCTTGTGGAATATATTTTAGTGTAAGCGGTAAGGTAGGAGTCACGCTTTGTTTCTTTTCCAGGTGAAATTCACTTATCCCAGCTCCACTTACCAAATGAACCACTTTGGTTATTGTTTATATTCCAGTCTATTTGGTTTGGACCTGTTGGGTTTGAGATGCCCCTTACACAATGGAGACATCTGTCCTCAGTTGCACAGGTGAGTCTGATGTGAGGGATGAGGTCCTAGCTAAAGCGGTAGTTTTGGACGTCATCAGCGTGTAGATGGATCACTCTCCCTCTTTGTGTTTCTTTTTTAAAATACTTTCCCAGTCTAAGAATTTATTCTCTCACATTAAATTTTAAATTGTTTTATCCAGTTCGCCCATCCCTGCGGGAGGTGGGGGGTGGAATCCGTTGGGATTTAAATTATAATTGCATTAAATTTAAATGTAACTTTTGGGAGCATTGACATTTTTATGATATTAAATCTCTCCAAAGAAAACGAAATGGTTTTCCATTTGTTCAAGTCTTATTTTTAGATCTTCTAATAAGATTTTATAATTTCTTCATACGGGTTCTATAACTTTCTGGTTAAATTTATTCCTAAGTGTTTTATGGTTTTGTCACTATTGCGATGGGATACTTTTTTCCATCTCTGTTACTTACTGATTATTAATATAGAGAAAAGCTAATGATTTAATGTAATTTGTTTTCTGTCTTATGAAGTCCCATAGTTTTAAAAAGAAATCTGTTTTTCATAGATACAAATTGCAAACTTGCCATTATACCAATTTGTCATTTTGCTGTAGTTAGAGCCTCTGAAACAATGTTGAATAATTATCCAGGTCCTGTTTCTGATGTGGATGGAAATCCACATTTGAGGGTTGGCTTTAAATTTCCTTCAGTTTCTCTTTAACGTGGGGCCTCTGAGACTTTTCTATAGCTGCCAGTCCTGCCTGAGTTGGGCACCAGGGGGCAGTAGTCACATAGAATGAAATGTGGGTTGTACCCCC